TTCTCTCCCCCTCCAGTGTCTATTTTATAATATAATGCAAGGAAAACCAAGATTCAAAAGACAGCCAAGCATCTTAACATTATTCCTCCCTTTTTCCCATTCCAACCATGTCTCAATCTCTGAATCCCGGAGCCCTGTTGTTCCAAGGTTGTGCCTACATCATTATTTACCTCTGGACAGGGAAGTTTTGACTAACTCTGAGAAGTTAGGGTGAGAAAGGAAATTCCACAGAAGTACTAGCTGGAAACAAGAAATAGAGATATGGGAAGCCAAAGCTTGGATCCATTTCCAAATGGAAATTAGATTTATACTAATCCTTGATACACCGTTAGTGATATGGCTGAAATATAGCATTACAGTAGCACTATACAGCCATGCACTGTGTAACACTTGTTTGGGCAATATCCATGGTCCCATCCTATAAGAAATCATGAGTGGAGAACACATGAAGTGAATTCAAGACCTTCCTGCATACAACATTTTGTCTCTTGTCTCTTATACACAAAGTGATTGCACTGCCAGGCATATAATGACACAGTGCATATGTAACGGGTAATACATACGTTTCAATAGTCGTAAGACATACTTATGTTCTGGCTTATGTACATACTATATTTTTAATCTAAAATATACTGTAAAATAGCATATGCTTTCACAGGCAAGCAGCAGTATCCAGTCTCGTGTGCTGCATGTCTTTTGAGTGTTTTAAGAATATCTCTATGCTTAATTTTCTTCAAAAATATAACCAGGAGATGCTCATAGTTCCCCAAAGCGGCATGACCAATGTTAGTGATAGCAGCAACATGAGGCAAAGGAGAAGCACTTATTTGGAAGTGAAGTGAAAGGTTACTAGACATCATAAAGATAGAAATAAGTGGATGCTATTGCTTGTGATTTAGGCACATCATACTTGATAATCATGAAAAACAAAGAAAAAAATTCTCCAAGCTGTTAAAGGGACTCACATCAGGATAGAGAAATTAGTACTGACATGGATTGCCAACCAAACATAAAAGCTAATCCCTCTCTAAGATTTTTATGATTCAATAGTGAGTAATTGTTATCATGACTAATTGCGACTGTCCCAACTATAAAGGTAGAAGTTTTGTTACAAAAAGGAGTACTTAATCTTACAGTCAAGGAACAGAGGACCCTAGGACCATCAAGGGAGAAGAACACAGTGGAATGTGCTACCTAGAGAAGCAGTGACTCAGAGATGAAAGCAGAGATGAGGACATGGAGAGAGAGAGCAGCTGAGGACTCTAGACTCATGGGAAGAGAAAGACTGTGTGTTGGTGGCAGGATTGCAGAATGTACCCTTTGGTTGTTGAAACGATTATAAATTCCTGGGTGTTTTTGTGTACATCCTCCTCCTCCTCCTCCCTCAAAATAACCCAGAAAGAATAGAAGCAGATACTGCTGAATGATGATGCATGGAGGAGACTGTAACCATTGCAATGAAACAATGAGTTTAAAACTAATGTTCTCCCATGTAAACTACCACTTAATTCACAATAAAAACTTTAAAAATAAAAGAGCTAATCCCTCTCTGAGCATAGCTAACACATGAAGCTTGGTTGGGATGCTTAAAAAGAAAGCAGGACCAGGCTATAATATGGTGTTCATATAACGTCCAAATCACATAATATCCTATTTTGTAGAAAGTGTTGTGGACTTTCTACATGATCCGTAACAGTAGTACATTTTAAAATTTAGAGTAAGTCCTCCTACTTTGTTCTTTTTTAAGAGTGTGACTGTATCATGGCTTACTAATTAATTTTTTTGTGAGGTTTATTGTGAGGTGTAGCTACTAACAAAAAGGTTGGCAGTTCAAATTCACTTGGAGACTCCAGAAGCAGGCCTGCTGATGAGAAAAGTTATAACCTTGAGAACCCTATGAAGCAGTTTTAACTTGTCACACTGGGGCTCTAGGAGTTGGAACCAACTGGATGGCAATTACCAACAACATTATGAGATGAGGATCTGAATTAGTTCTCTATCCAGAGACTTGACCACTTGTCCCAACTCCATGTATTCAAGAAGCTTATTTTGATCTAAATTATGTAGTAAGCTCTTCCGGCTATGTTTTTTTTTTGTGTGTGTGTGTATTCCCATATTTACATTAAAACCTGTTAACAATGCTTCACAAAATGTCTAAATGTTTTATTAACTCTCTATAGGTATGAGTTTTCAAACTTCATTAGCTATTTTTACCTTTGATTCTTTCAGATGATTACTGGTATTCTTTTACTTGTCACTGAAATGTTGATTGACAATGTGGGTTAATGAACTGGACTGCAAGGTTGGTTTGAACCGCAAGGTCAGTGGTTCTAGCTTACCAGCTAATCCTCGGAAACCCTATACAGGGTCGCTACGAGTCAGAATGGACTCAACAGCACTTAACAATAACACTAAAACTACAGAAATGACGTCTTTAACATATTTAAAGAAAATACTACTAATTGGGTGTTGTTTTAGGTACTGTACTAAATACTTAAGGACCCCTGGTAGCATAGTGAATTATGAGCTGGGCTGCTAACTGAAGGTCAGCAGTTCAAATCTACCAGCTTGCTCCACAGGAAAAGTTGGGGCTTTCTGATACCATAAAGATTTATCCCCTCAGAAACCCTATACAGGGTCGCTATGAGTCGGAAACGACTCAGTGGTACACAATACCATCACCACCACTAAATATATTTGCATGAGCACCTTTTCACTTAATTCTTACAACTACCTAGGAGTACTATTGTTATATTCATTTGTCCAATGAAAAAACACATTTAAGAAAGAACTTAACAAAGTACAATTGAACCTAGGTCTCTCATATTCCAGGCTCTAGATTCTTAACTACTTGCTGACTCTCTACAAATAAGGCTGTTGAGTAGCACCTTCAAGTTGTTTCTGACTCACAGTGATCCTGTATAGGCTTTCCAAGGAGTGGCTGGTGAGTTTGAACCACCGACCTTGTGGTGCAAATCAACCTTGCATTCCAGTGGCAAAATCTTAAGTTTCTCAAATTTATCAAGAATTATAGGTTACCTTCTTTAGGCCATAGAATTTATTAATGATTTTACATTCTTGGATTGCAAACCACAAGGTCGGCTGTTCCAACCCACCAGTTAGTTGTTCCTCAGAAACACTATACGGGGTCACTATGAGTCAGAACTGATTCAGTGGCACTTGACAACATTTCTAGTATAAGTAGTTCGTTTTCCTTTGTTGGGTAATCCTAATGTGGTGCTATAGGATAAGCACTGGACTCTGAACCACATAATCAGTGGTTCAAACCTACCAGTTGCTCCTTGGAAACTCTGTATATTTAGCATTCCTCATTAGAGCACTGTTGTTGTCAAATGCTATCAAGTAGGTTCCAACTCATAGCGACCTGTACAGGGTTTCCAAGGAGCAGCTGGTAGTTATGAACCACTAACCTTCCAGTTAGCAGTCCAGTGCTTAGTCTACACTGCCACTCCAAGACTCTTACATGGCACCTTTTTAACTAAAATAATATTATAGTAGCTTTTTAATTGATTTATTTGGACTAACAATAATTTTGCCTCTCCTTTTCCAATACTTATACTCTGGTAGCATAGTGGTTATAAATCGGGCTGCGAACCTTAAGGTCAGCGGTTCGAAACTACCAGCTGCTCCGCAGGAGAAAGATCAGGCTTTCTACTCCCGTAAAGATTTACACCCTCGGAAACCCTGTACAGGGTCGCTATGGGTCGGAACCGACTCCACGGCACTTAACAATAACAATAATACTTGTTTCATGCTTATATTAGACAATTTCCAAATTAATTAATATTAATATTATTTAAAACCAAACAATCAGCTTTTTACTGAGTGGAAACTTATGAAGCCTATCATCAAATTTACCAAATTAATTATTTTCATAGTAGGAAAATTTAACAAGTTTAAAAAATCAGATTTAATTTAAAGATGCTCAGAAATACTTAATCCTTTATAAAATAATTTCTCACCTTTACAGAAAATATAACACCTCCTTTAGGTTTAAATGAATTGAAGAGAGCCAGCAAATCTTTTGCCTTAATTCTATCCCAGTCCATGTTGCACACAGCTAATCGATGTGTAATCTGTAAAATGAAAAATCACATTACACAATGTGTATCATAACCAGTACTTAATATAGGTAATTAAAACGGCTTGACTTCATTTACCAAATACTGAAATTGTTAATATAGTAGTTTTCTAAATCGTTTCAATATGTGCGAAGAGAACGTCAAATGAGTCAAACAATAGCAAAACCACCAACAGATACAAACTTTTTCTATTTTCATTCTTCGTTCTTGGGTCACGACATAAGCATGAGCTGATTTTTTAACTATCAAGTATGTTAAGCCATTTTGCCAACTATGCACATAGTAGACAAAGTGAATGTTACCATATAATGTTTCTAACAGGTGTGGCAGAAGGAGTGTACCCTGCTAGCTTAAACAGGACTTCTGGTGTGATGCTCTACAATAGCACTGGACAGCACATCACAGGGCCAGCAGTTCAAACCCACCTCAGAAACCCTATACAGGGTCGCTGAGTCGAAACCGACTCAATGGCTCTTAACAAGCTAAAACAAGCATTTCCTGACTTGTGACTTTTATTTATGTAAAACTTCTTCCTTACTTGGACAACTTCTAATTAATTTACTATTTATTCCAAAGCAAGAAATTTTAATCATAACACTAATCAAGAATATTATTTAGCAGTAATGTTTTTTTCTTACTTAATTTAACGACAGCAATACTACCACTCATAAAAGCTACTTGTATTATTATTTTCACAAATAATCTTATTCATTCAAAAGGTTACCTCATCAGCCCGAGGAGCATCTTTATCTAATTCTCTCCAAGCATGCTCAAAAGTGGATTCTCCAGGAAGTAAATCTTCATCATCTTCATCTTCAGAACTAGTTTCTACATTTCCTTTACCCCTAGCAAGATCAGGGCCACTGTCACTTTCATCATCTTCAACATCCTCATCTTTATCCTCCTCTTCATCATTGTTACTTTCATCATCATCTGAAGTTCTACCAACTCCTGTAATTTCATCTTCAGATTCCTCATCAGATATTTCACTAGAACTTTCTGAATCTTCTGCCAAAGAATCTTCATCCAACTGTTTACCTTCTGTTAACTTTTCATAATCGTTTCCTGCCATTATGAGTGGAACCACTGCAAAGGGGGAGAAATCAGCCAACAATGAGTTAAACTGAATAAGAATTATTTTGGTATCAAACACAGTAAAAAATACAATTCTATGAGAAACTGAAGGAAAATGCAAATTCATTAAAATGTATGCCTAACCAAAATACTTAATGTTGTTAAGTGCCGTAGAGTCCATACTGACTCACAGCAACCCTGAATAGGGTTTCAGAAGAGGAGCTGGTGGGTTTGAAATGCTAACTCTGTGGTCAATAGTACAGTGTTTATCCTACAGCAACATACCAGGATTCCAAGTTATTTAATGGTAGTAGTGGTGTGCTGTGGAGTCGATTTTATTCTTTGCAACCCTGCACAGGGTTTCCAAAGCTGTAAATATTTACGGAGCAGAAAGCCTCATCTTTCTCCAAGGAATGACTGGTCATTTCAAACTGCTGACCTTGAGGTTAGCAGTCCAATTGTAACCACTATGCTACCAGAGCTCCTTAAGTTACGTAATAGAAACCTTAAATATAATCAGATCATGCAAGTAAATCCATCTATTTATTTCACTAGTATCTATGGAGTGCTACCCACCCAATGCCATCAAGTTGATTCTGACTCACAGCGATCCCCTACAGAACAGAGTAAAACTGCTCTTTAGGGTTTCCCAGATAGTAAATCTTTACAGAAGCAGACAGCCTCATCTTCCTCCAGCTGAGGAGTGGGAAATGTGAAATTCTAACCTTGAGGTTAGCAGTTTATTATATAGCCCACAATGCCATCAGGGGTCCTCTACAGAGTGCTAGGTGTGTAATATATATAAAAGTCTCACTGAACTTCCTGTCAAATGAAGAGGATACATAAACACTAGTCAAATAAAATCAATACACATACAAAAATGAAAATCATTCCTAAGACAAGTACTAAGAAAGAATAGTGTTATATGAGCACATAGAAGGGATCTCTGAGGGAATGAGAGCTGTGTTGCTATTTGAAAGATGAAGAGAAGTTTAGTAGTCCATTAGATTAATAGAGGGCTTCAAAAACAAGGAAAACGTCTGTTAAAGTACAGTTGTAGGAAAAAAGTCTGGCAAGCATATTGGATTGCTGATAGCAAGAGTTCCAGTAAGAAATGAAGCTGGATATTATGTAGCAGTCAGACTACCCCAAAACCATAGACTTTGTCATTAACAACTACTGACTTGTTGGCAGAAATGAAATGATGACATTTTCATATTGAAATCACCTTGACTACTCAGAAAACCCACCAGGCGAAGTCACAGACAAGACAGGGTGATTTTCAAAGATGCTGAAATAAAGACATAAACTACTACTAATATATTAACATTTTGATGATGATTAGAAAACCAGAAAACTATTAAATATTGGAAGATACTGGAACTTCCATTTATTGCTGGTAAGAATGTAAAATGGCAGCTACTGTGAAAAATTGTTGGTCATTGTCAAGTGCCACTGAGTCAGTTCCAACTCACAGTGACCCTGTATAGGATTTCCAAGAAGGGGCTGGTGGGTGTGAACCACCGACCATGCAGTTAAAAGTCAAGTGCTTACCCTACAGCACCACACCAGAACTCCAAAGATATTGTGGTGGTGGTTTTATATAACTGATTGGATGGCATTTATCCAGACAATACCCTTAAATCCCATAACAATCCTGATCTGATGTAAGAGTTTTCCCAGGGGTGTGTCCTGCACCATCTTTCATCTCACAAAGATGAGAGGAGAGAGAAGTAAACTGAGAAAGAGGGAAAGTGGCTTTTTGACCGGGGGTCCCTGGCACTGTGAAGGTTAATGTCAAAACATAGGGGGATATCTAAGGAATACCGGACCTATAGATGCTACAAGTAGAAAGGACCTTTCCCCAGAGCAGACAGAAAAAGAAAGTCTTCCCCTAGAGCCAGCACTCTAACTTTAGACTTCTAGCCTACTAAACTGTGAGAATACATTTTTGTTTGTTAGAGTCATCATTCACTTGTGGTATTTTACTATTATGGTGTTAAGTCAAGTCAGTTCCGACTCACAGTGATCTTATATAGGGTTTCCAATGAAAAGCTGGTAAATCTGAATCACCGACCTTGCAGTTCAAACCAACTTTACAGTCCAGTGCTTACCTTTTATTATCTCAGCACTATATAAGTAAGAAACCCCTCATGTAGGCAGCCCGTGAGTTACAAACAAGATCTGTACCTGGGTTTTTAAGCAGAATTCCTAAGTTGTAACAAGTGTTTATGGTTTTACTTAGTCTTGAAATAGTACAAATAGGGAGTAACAGCTCTGGTAACCTAGTAGTTACAAGTCAGGCAGCTAACCTCAAGGTCAGCAGTTCGAAACTGCCAGCCATTCTGTGAGGGAAAGATGAGGCTTTCTGCTCCCATAAAGATGTAGAGCCTCGGAAACCCTATGTAGAGTAGTTTTGAATTGGAACCTACTCCATGGCACACCAACCACCACCAGTCAGTACATGTGACAAAACGCAAGACAAGGCTTGAAGCATTTTCAATGAATTGAAAGTTGCATCTACAACAAGTGAATGTGATTGTAATAAGAATTTATTCTCAGTAGTGTTGGTTCCATCTTCTCAAAGTGAGGGTAGATTTCCTTAACATTAAAGGATAAGCAGGTAGCCATCATCTAGACATTCCTAACCTGAAGACTGCCTGTTTCTAGAAAAGGCAAATAAATGCACAGGGACAAAAATGTATTACTGCTTACTAGGGGCGTAGGGAAGGAGCTCTGGTAGCATAGTGGTTACTAATCGGGCTGCTAATCTCAAGGTCAGGAGTTCAAAACTACCAGCTGTTCTGTGGGAAAAAGATGAAGCTTTCTGTCCTGTAAAGATTTGCAGGGTTACTGAGTCAGAACTGACTCCACGGCACACCACCTCCACCACCAGGGGTTTGGGGAAAGGCTAGTGGGGTTGTACTGGTAAACAGATTGTTTAGAATGATGGAAAGCACCCCCTCTCCCGCATAAAAAGATATCATTGATGACAGACCAAGCAGTCAAATGCTTTGTTACAGCTATTTTACCATAATAAAATAAAAAATTCTGAGTATCATCTAAAATCTTCATACATATCACACTTTTAGGTTGTATAATAAATTGATGCAGGGGAGATGCTAAAATATTTTATTAAATACACACATACAGAGTATTTACTCATTCAAAAAATATATGCTCAGACTCCACCAGGTAGAAATATGTCAGAGGCCTTATGTTAGATAATGTGAGATTACAAAAATAAATGTCTTTAATGCTTGAAGGATATCATGTTTGGTAGGATGGAGGGTCAGAGACAAAGAGGAAGACCCCCAGTGAGATGCATTGGCAAAGTGGCAGCACCAATGGGGTCAAGCATGGCAACGATTGTGAGGTTGGCCCAGGATCGGGCAGTGTTTCGTTCTGCTGTGCATAAGGTCACTATGAGTTGGTACAGACTCGATGGCACCTAACAACAACAACAATCAATGCTTGAAGGTATTAATCTAATAGAGACTGCAAAGATTGGTCTTCACCTTATGCAGTTACTAAAAAAAAATTAAGATTTAAAGAAGAAAGTAAAGATAACTAGTAATTTTTAATCCAGAGATATTATTAACATTTTTGTACACAGCTCCTAAGTTTTTTTCTATGGTAAACTAAATTTTAAAAAAATATGTAAATTTGGTCATACCATTTATTCTATTTTATAACTGCAGACTAGAGGAATATTTAACGTCTCTTCTAACCATAGTTTGTAACTCCCACCAAGTTTTAACTCTGCTGGGTCTGGGTAAGAGAAGGTGGGAGAACATACTGAAAGGAAGATACAATTCAGCTTGGATGTTAATATTGAGTTCATTATGATTGAAAACACTTGAAACTCTAGCCCAAATATAAAATAAGTTATCTCAGCAGCAGAAGAGGGACAATCTCACCATCATCAAAGAAGTGCCAGGTGTGGAGTACATCCTTGTATCCCAGTATCCCTGCATAATGAAGCTCCTCAACCCAGGGATGAAAAACCATGACACTGGAGCGATGGAGTAGCAACAGCAGAACCAAGCAGAACACAGGACAGAGCAGTGGGTTTCTCAGCCCACAGAGCAAGTAAAGCTGTGTGACTTTGGGCCAGAAACTTGCTTCTAGAATGGGGTGACTCCAGGCACTTAATTGAGGAGCTACAGTCAAGTGCCTTCAGGCTGAAGCTTATGGTGGAGTGGCGTGCCCTGTGAGCATTTATCAGCAGCTGACTGGAACAACTGTGTCATCATTTCTTGATACAGTATTGTAACCTGTTAAATTCCCTGAAACCCCGTATCTGTGAGTGTGGTGTCTAAGTTCTGTGTGGCCACTGCACTGAATTATGGAATCCAACTGAGGAATAGAGAAATGGTTTGGATGGAATGGTTGGAGCCATTCATCATTTTTCACAATAAACTATTTTGAAAGCTCCATGTATCACAGGTATGTTCGACTGTGTCATAATTTAAAGAATCCCCACTAGTTTAGTTGAAGGAGTCCTGCTGTGACCCTGTAGGTTAATGCGCTGGACTGCAAGGTCTGCGGTTCAAGCTCACCAGCCATTCCTCAGACACCCTATACAGGGTCACTATGTGTCAGAACTGATTCGATGGTACTTAACAACAAGGTTAGGTTACCTTTAGAAAAAAGTTTACCAAAATGTTGCAAGGCACATTCTTTGCATACACACCTAATTATTTACATCTCAGTATAAGTGCTGAGCTTGAATATTTAAAAATAATACACACACTACAGTGCAATTTCTCACATACCTTTTACCTTATAATATTTAGAAAATCCCTTGCACGCAGTAGTTGCTAAATAACTGTAGATAATTAACTAAAGATGATCCTATGTGGAATTATTTAATCTCCACATATAAACAATGCTTTTTCTAAAGTCTAAAACCAACATCATTTCTTGTAAGCCACAGTGAGGTGGAAATAATCAGAAGACTCAAATTACAGTCTTAAGTCTATGAACTTTCCTAAGTCACTTTAGCACTGTTTCCTGATGGTGTGGTGCTGCAGGATCAGCACTGGACTGCAAATCACAAGGTTGGCAGTTCAAACTCACAAACGGCTCCTTAAAAATCCTATTCAGGGTCACTATGAGTTGGAACTGACTGGACGGCATGGAACAACAGAAGCAGTAGCTCTGAGATGGACAAATACGCCTTGCTCATGCCCTATCTATCAATAACTCAAACTCAATCCACAGCCATTGGATTCACATCAAACGTTTTACAGGGTTTCTCTGGTAACACAGTGGTTACGAATCAGGCTGCTAATCTCAGGTCAGCAGTTCGAAACTACCAGCTGTTCCGTGGAAGAAAGAAGAGGCTTTCTTCTCCCGTAAAGATTTACAGCCTCGGACATCCTATGCAGGGTCGTTAAGAGTTGGAACTGACTCCATGGCACACCACCAAGGCAGTCAATCTTTACAGGACCTTGGTGGCTCTGTAACAATAAACACCAGAATGCAAACCACAAGGTCGGTGATTTGAGTCCACCAGCCACTCCTCAGGAGAAAGATGAGGCTGTTTCCATAAAGATTAAAGGTCTCTGAAACCCTATACAGGGTCATTATGTGTCGGACTGACTCAACAGCACTTTAACAACAAATCTTTACTGGAACAGATCGCCTCATCTTTCTTCCCCAGAGCAGCTGGTGAGTTTGAACTGTTGCCCTTATGATGAGCAGTCCCATACTTATGCTACAGTGCCACCATGGTCCCACTAGCTACCTATAAACCAAACTCATTATCAAGTCAATTCTGACTTAGCAATATGATAAGCACTGGACTGGTAACCACAAGTTCATAGTTCGAGTCTGCCAGCCACTCTGCAAGGAAAAGATGAGGCTTTTGTTCCAAAACCCTATATAGTATAGCTATGAGTTGAAACCAACTCAACAGCGCTTAACAGTATAGAGTTTCTGTAACTATAAATCTTTAGAGGAGCAGATAGCTTCATCTCTCTGCCACAGAGCACCAGGTGAGTTTGAACTGCCAAGCTTGCCGTTCAACACTTACCCTATAACAACACCAGAGCTCCATTACTAAATAAATTTTTGTTCCACAAATGAAGGAATGCATGAGTACTCAATTCTATTTACCTGATTCTTACATATTGCTTCTTATCATGTGATTATTTATTAAAAAGCTTGTTGTTGTTGTTGTTAAGTGCCGTCGAGTCGGGTCCGACCCATAACGACCCTGTACAGGGTTTCCGAGGGTGTAAATCTTTACGGGAGTAGAAAGCCTCATCTTTCTCCCGCAGAGCGGCTGGTAGTTTCGAACCGCTGACCTTAAGGTTCGCAGCCCGATTCGTAACCACTACGCTACCAATTAAAAAGCTTACTAGTATCAAAATGTATCAAAATCATTATTTAGCCTCACATCTTAAATCTACATTATCTGTCTTCTAGTCACTAAGGCACTGAAGCAAGAATAATCATTCGATGGTATGTTTTCCTTTCACAGATTTTTACTTTCAAATAAAACATTTGACCACTCCCATTATACAATGAAAATACATATTAAAGCATGTTTATATTTTAAAAGATCAGCATAAAAATAAATAATGCAACAACAAAGAATCGCTGATTCTTTCCAACTAACCTGATTGCATTTCTCTTTTCTCCAAACACTTGACTTTGGGTGATTTCACAACTTCGGTGATGGCTGAATCAACTCTCTTTAGTTTTTCATTAGGAAAACAGTCCATACTATGTTGAACAATGGTTTTTCCCTCTTTTGAACCTTTCTGCCTAAATTCTTTGCTATCCTTTTGAGCACTTGTTTTTGAATCTAACTTCTTAGAGGTTTTCACTTTCTGAATTATTTCAGATGTATGTAATTTATTTTTACTTTCAGAATTCTTTTGATTAATTTTCTTAGTGTCTTTCCTTATCTTCTCTGCTAGATTTTTTGAATCAATTCCTATTTTAGTCTGAGTTTTTTTCTTCGTTTTCTTTTGTTTCAGGGTTTTGCTATCTTCATCAGAAAGGTCTGAATCAGAATCTGAAAGGTCATAGTAACGTTTCAAGTCTTCTGTAGTACTGTGGTTGATGGGGCGTCCTCTTTTATCTACAGCATAGTTCAACTTGAATTTTTTGTCATGAAACATGGCTTGAAATCTCTTGTCAATTTTAATTTTTTTATCCTTTTCTGGCATTTCCCAAAATCTTGGGTCCTTTGCAACTCGTCTAAACCGCTGATCACTCATTATTTCTTGTTTGGATGACATTTTTAACCTCTGAGGTGGGCAAATCCTTGAAGAAACCAAATGCTAAAAAAAAAAAAAAAAACAAGTGTTATAATAATGAAGATTAGGATAGGAATATAATTTTTTTGAAAAATTTTAATTCACAATATGCTCTAAGTTAAATAACAGTAGCAAGACTAAATTCATTTTCCCAACTTACTCTGCCTTGATATTTCTCAAGCCATGCTATTTTCAATAACCTCATATGCATGCAAAAGTTGGACAGTGAGTAAGGAAGACTGTAGAAGAAGTGATGCATTTTAGATACGGTGTTGGAGGAGAATATTCAAAGTACCATAGACTGCTAATAGAACCAATCAGTGTTGGAAGAAATATAGCCAGAATGATCTCTGGAAGCCAGGATGGCCAGACTTCATCTCTCATACTTCGGACATATTGTTAGGAGGGACCAATCTCTGGGGAAGGATACCATGTTCGGTAAAATGGAGTGTCAGAGAAAAAGTGGAAGACCCCCAACGAGATGGATTGGTACAGTGGGAATAGTGATGGGCTCAAATGTAGCAACAACTGTGAGGTTGGGGCAGGACAGGGCAGTGTTTCGTTCTGATTTGCAGAGGGTTGCTATGAGCTGGTAAAGATTCGATGGCACCTAACAACAAAACTTGCTCTGGGTCACATGTAGAAAATAAAAATGCATCAAAATATTCTCTTTTCGTGGGGTGTGTGTGTGATAAAGGCACGAAGTGGTTGTCTTACAAGTTTTCAAGTGGGAATTTAGTTTCAGAGTGTGTGTGTGTGTGTGTGTGTGTGTGTGTAGAGGGGAGGTAGAATCCCCACTGAATAGTTTTCATCCAACTCACAAGTACTCTATAAAAGGTTTCTGGGGCTAATCTTTATGGGAACAGTCCCATCTTCCTTCCTGGAAGCAGTTCGTGGGTTTAAACCACTCATCTTGAGGTTGACAGCCCAATGTCTAACCCACAGCGCCACCAGAGCGCCTTAGAAATTAAAAACCTGAAAATTAAAAAACTTCTAACCCTTAGTTTGTCTCCCTTGTTTTTTGTTTTGTTTTTACATTCTGGTCCTATCCTCATCTCTGGCAATCCCCAACATAGGGTAGTTCTACAAGGCCAGTACTTCATAAACAGATAAGATCAATTCAGGTTTAGCTCAAGAACTTCCCTCTGTCAATGTTACTATCCTTCAAGAACTAGGCAAGTCTCACTTCATTTAAGAACTATCACTTTTTTCTATCTTATGCTAAAGTTTATATTGTAACAGATACGCACACAATCAATGATTTAGTGTCTCTGGATTCGATTTTTAAAAAAGCTAAAACTGATCATTAAAAGCTAAAGAATCAGAGGGGAGTCCTGGTGTGGGCTCGTAAGGTCGGCTTGAACCATAGGGTCGGTGGTTCAAACTCAACATCTGCTCCTTGGAAACCCTACACAGGGTCGCTATGTATCAGGGCCGACTTGACAGCGCTTCACAACTCAGCGGTTCCGCCTCATAGCGACTCTGTATAGGATTTCCAAGGAGCGCCTGGAGGGTTTGAACTCCCAACTTTTCTGTTAACAGTCCAGTGCTTCTTGAAGCAACTCTTTTTATGCCTTCTCTAGGGAAAGCAGAAGTTTCAAAGATGCATGCATACATTTTAACATCAAAAATACTGATAACAATGATGAACTCTTAAGAGCCAGGTACTGTTCTAAGGGATTTAGAGATAGTAAGGTATTTAATCCTCTAACGTCGATATCAGGTTATCCTACCAGCAAAGGTAACGCGTGTAAATATTTAGAATTCAAGCAAGCACTGAATGTTGTTGTTGTTGTTATGTGCCGTGGAGTCGATTCCGACTCATAGCGACCCTGCTACAGGGTTTCCGAGACTGTAAATCTCAAGGAGAGCAGAATGCCTCATCTTTCTCCCGCGGAGCAGTTGGTAGTTTCGAACTGCTGACCTTAAAGTTCGCAGCCCGATTCGAATACACATCCGAAATTGGAACACCGGGGAAGGAGATCTTGCCTCAGTTTCTACGTACGTTACGTACGCTCTGTAGCCCACTCTGCTACCCACCCACGTGAGGCTTAACACCGAACTAATTTTCCGTTCCCACCAGTTACTCTGTTGAAACCCTTAAGAGAGCGTGACCACTGAGGAGGATCAAAGAAGTCTGAAACAACCAAGAAGAAAGGGCGCACGACTTACAGTTCCGCAGGAGACGCTCAGAAACTGGTTATTCCGTCTACACGCTCAATAACCCACCAGCATCCGCAACGCCTATTCCGAATTTCACGTGGGATTCACACCCACAATCCTCTGCGTGACTCTCGGTCGTAACGGCAAGCGAGCTGGATCAAAGTACTTCCCTATTCCGCCTGCGGAAAAATCTCTCTGATAGGCGCAAAAGCAGCTGCGGCGCATGCGAGCTTCCGCAGCACACGGGCCAGTGGCGTAGTTGTTGAAGATGCTGCGATTCAGGGTGTCTCGGCGTCTGTGGCAACGAATTCAGAAGGCAGGGGTTCCCGCGGAGTGCCTCAGCCGCATGGAGGTCGCCTCTGGGGTCTCCTCTCGGGAGGGTGCCTCGCCTAGGGCCCTGAATATCTTCGACAGGAATTTGAAGAGGAAACAGAAGAACTGGGCTGCTCAGCAGCCCGAGCGGATGCAGTATGACTACCTGAAGGAAGAGGTGAGGGCGCAGGAGATGGTTGGAGGGCGGCGCCGAATCCAGGTTTCGGGCCCGGGAGCTCCGTGACCTTGAGCAGCCGCCCTCCCTCGCTGGACCTATACTATAATCATGGGAGGACTGGGTTTGGATGTTCATGGAATTTTATTCATTCATTCACCCAGCAAATATCGCTTAGGGGTACAGCTGTGACCAGAGCAAAGCAAGATCGATGTCCTCTTGGGGCTTGTATTGTAGGGTAGAAACTGAGACAGATCGTAGGCAAGAAACAAATTAACCAATAGGGTAATTTTAGTTAACCAATAAAATCAGGACTTTTTCAAAAAGAGATAAAAGGTTACAAGAGAGTGACTGTAGTGGTCAGGGGGATGGCTACTGGGGCTGGGGACCTGGTGAGACTTTGTTATATGCCATGAAGTGTGTACCGGCTCATAGCGACCCTGTATAGCGTTTCCGAGGCTGTAAATCGTAAACGGTAGCAGGAAGTTTCATCTTTCTCCCGCGGAATAGCTGGTAATTTCGAACTGCTGACCGTGATATTAGCAGCCCGATTCCAGAGCTCCTTGGTTTGTACCCCAAAGTCAGTGGTTCAAGTTTACCAGCTGCACCTCGGAAACCCTATACACGATCGCTGTGGGTTGAAACCGCGTCTGGGGGACAAATGCAAAGTCCCTTAGGAAAAAATAATCTTGTAGTTCTCAGTGAAGCTGGAATTTAGAGCTCTACTGAGTGGCAGAAGAGATCGAGAAGGCCCGAGTCAGTAGGGCCTTTTAAGGTTGTTCTTGTTAAGTGTTGTTGAGTGGTTGCAACTCATAGCGACCCGTGCAGGGTTTCCAAAGAGAGGCTGGTGGGTTTGATTAGCCAAGCTTGCAGTTAGCGCTACATTGCTTATGGATTTTATTAACTCTCTGTCCTGACCATCCAGTGTGGTAGTTGCTGCTTACAAGCGATGATAGAACATTTGTGCTTAGTCCAATCAAGATGTGCTGTAGGTGGGTTCAGTGATGTGAAAAAGAATGTATGTAAGTAATCTCAATGTTTTCTATTGGTTCCATGATGACATAATCATATTTCTGATATATTGCGTTAAATAAAATATACTTTTCAAACTATATATTGCGCTCAGTGTATTTGTATTTCCACTAGGCAGCACAGCGCTGGAGGACTGTAAGAACGTTTGGTAGTTTTAAGCAGTGGAGGAATGTGATCTGAATTCCATTATAGGAAAATGAAATGATGATCTCTGATTTCTCTGACCTAGTTTGAGAGACATTCTCTCTGTTCAGGTGGTGCTTCCAAAGGAGTAGAGACTGAGTTTCTATTCTGTGGACATACGACGCCAAGCTCAGGCCTCAGTGTTTCATGAGAGCAGAGAAGAGCTGGAGTCGGGTGCAATGAGCTCTTTCAAGCCTACACACAAAAGTTTATTGCTCTACTTTGGCTAGGGAGTCCTGGTGTGGCGCTGGACCCTAAGGTCAGTTTGAATCAGAAGGTTAGTGGTTCAAACCCACCAGCCACTATGCAGTGGCGCTATGGTCAGAACTGACTCGATGGCATCAATAACAATACTTTGGGTCTAGCTTGGTCCAAGCACTGGTCTGATCTGAGATAACAGATGATTGACATTGTATTCTTAAAGAGCCTTAGAGTTTAGAAGAGGAGGTGAGACCGCTAATCATTGATTAGTAATGTCCTGGTATGGCACTCATTGTAGGTTAGTGCGTTGGACTGCAAGCTCTGTTTGAACCTGAAAGTCAGCGATTGGTTCAAGGTCACCAGCAAATCCTTGGAAATCCTATACAGGGTCACTATGAGTTGGAACAGACTCAAAGGCATTTAACAACAACAATCATAAAACTAGAAAGTCAACAATCAAAACATTTTCTGTGTCTTATCCATAAGGCACAGAGCATATCCTGTATTGATTCTGCCGGTTGCTCGTTCGCTCCTGAAGGGTCCGCAATAGCTTGTACTCAAAAGAATATGTTCCTCACCCCTGTTATCCTCCAAATAAAGTGCCTGGACTATATAGGTTGGTTGAGGGTTGGGTAATGTGCAGGACTAGAATTAAATAGGTAAGGTGTGTGAGAGCTCTTCGTATAATAAAAGGTATTCATATTAAGAATGGAGTCCTGGTATAGCGTTGTACTATACGTGCTGGACTGTTAACTGCAGGGTTAGCAGTTCAAACCCACCAGCTGCTCCTCAGAAACCCTATATAGGGTTATTGTGAGTCAGAACCAACTCTACAGCACTTAACAATATTTTAGGAATGACGTATCAAGTAGACACTTATGGGAAAAGACTTATGCTGTATCTCTAATAATAATAATAAAGCAGGTAAGTATGTTTTCTGAAATTTCATAGTAGAATCTCTTAGGTGTTTTATTAGTCACTTATACATTCATCTATAACAAATCCCAGGTAACCATATAATTTTTTTTCACTTATTTCTCTCATGTTGAAATCTATGAACTGTCATGTTCCTGTTGCTTTTCATCTTTGAGACTATATATTATTGAATGTTTTTAAATATATATATATCGTTGTTAAGTGTCTTCATGTCAATTCCAACTCTTAGTGACCCTGGATAGGGTTTCCTGGACTTTTTTAAATCTTTGCAGGAGGAAAGCTTCATTTTCCTCCCACGGAGCCCCGTGCAGGCTCAAACCATGGATCTTGGGGTTCACAGTCCAGTGCCTATTGGATGGAGCCACCTCACTCCAAAACATATATACATGTATATACACAGATATATGTTCTTTAAAAATGTTTAGTCTTGATTTAGTTAAGTTGACTACTAAAGTATTTTGCATCAGTTTAGTTCCCTGGTTCTTTTCATTTATTTATCATCCTATTCAGAAGTAGAAACTTAATATAGTGAAAGAGATATAGGTGAATACTTCTCTACCCATTAAAACATAGTGGAATACTGAAAAAACATTGTTACTTCTCTTTTAAATTTGCTCATCTTAAAATGTGTATATCATTACCTCTTGTTATTCAGGTTGGAAGTCGAATTGCAGACCGTGTATATGACATAGCTAGGTAAGTGATGGATGGTTGCTTAGTTAAATGCCATCAACTTTTGATGGAGACGCAAGAGATTAAATGTGGAGAGCTTGATATCAGAAAGCAGAATCTGGAAGAATTTATTACCAAAAGTGGTGCTGATAACTCTTACTCTCTTCTTGTTTTCATATCTAAGAGAATACATATTGTTTCATATTTGCCTAAAATGCAAATGAATGCAGGCACAACTCATAGCTTCTGTCCAAGTATGAATATCTTATGCTCTTGATACGGCACAAAGCTGGTGGTGTGAATATTTAGGGACCTGGTGTGGCACTCTGTGGGCTTGAACCACAAGGTAAGCTCTTCAAATCCACCAGCCACTCCTCAGAAACCTTATACAGGGTTGAAACGGATTCCACAGCACTTAAGAACATCAATAAACCTACAAACCTAGCATTAAACATATAACTAAAACTAGCAATAGAGGCTCTTAACCATTTAAAGGAAAGACTTACTTTCCAATCAGCTTATATGAGATGTTTAATTTTATTATAAATATTGTTAATAAGATTCTATAAGGTAGACTAAACACAAGAACACTTTCATCCAGTGTTCTTGAAATTGATGGATTCGTTTCTCTATGTTAGACATAGTGAAAGCTTTGTAGACTGGAGTTAACCCCCATATGGCAGATGCCTTGTGGAACCAGTCACATAATGGCTTTGCAGTAGAGTTGGTCTGTGATGTTAGCAAAGCACTGTTTTTGTGCTCTTTTGGCTAAAAGACAATCCTTTAAATTAGAACAAGATAAGATGAATTTATTGAATTTGTGTATAACAAAAGGAATTTTGTAAAGTCATGAATCTTTCCATCATATTTTACAGACATAATGTTTAAAAGAGTATTGTTGATGTTAAGTGCTATTGAGTCGGTCCCAACTCATTGCATTTCTGAGGAGGAGCTGGTGAATTTGAACCATTGGCCTTGTGGTCCAGTGCATTATGCTACAGTGCCAGGTATTAGGATCTATTAATTTTATAAGACAAAAAAAATACTTCAATGATTCAAATAATTACTCCATTTTATCTGTATCATTAGTTCCATTATTTTATAGATCTGAAAACAGCTAATTCTTAACATCGTAGTACTTCCTTATGCCTGAATTACAGTCTTAAATTTTTTTTAATGTAAAGTTAATATTGCAACTCTGTTTGATTTTGCCATGTTTTTATTTCATTGTTGTTGCTGTTAAGTGCCTTCAAGTCGGTTCTGCCTCACAGCGACCCCATATAGGGTTTCTGAGGAGTGATAGGTGACTTTGAACTGATGACCATGCAGTTCCAAGTGACTTTGCAATCCAGAGCATTATGCTGCAGCGCCACACCAGGACAGGGGTGTATGCAGACACCTGTGATTATGGCTAAAACCGTGCCTTAAACAAATGTCATTGTTGTTGGTGTTAATTGCCAGCAAGTCAGTTCTGACTCACAGAAATCCTATACAGGGTTTCCAAAGACCCGCTGGTGAGTTTGAACCACTGACCTTGCAGAACTGAGCTTGAGGTTGAGTGCTTATCCTGTGGTGCCACACCAGGACTCCATTAAACCAACATTAACTCTTGGAGTTGAATTATTACAAATACTGATTACTGTGTTCTTATCCCACTGCCATGGAGTTGGTTTTAATTTATAGTGACCCGGTACAGGGTTTCTGAGACCTCAATTCTACTGGAGCAGACATCCTCATCTTTCTCCTGTGGAGCAGCTGATGAGTTTGAACCAGTGGCCTTGTGGATAGCAGTCCAATGCTTATCCCACAGTGTGTTCTATTATTAGAAGAAGTAGTCTTTTATTAATCTTTTTTTTTTCAACTGACTCCTGGTGTGGCACTACGGGTTAATGCATTGGGCTGCAAAGTTGGTTTGAACTGCAAGGTTGGCGGTTCAAGCTCACCAGCTGCTCCTCGGAAACCCTATACATGGTCACTATGGGTCAGAATTGGCTCAACAGCACTTAACAACAACAGCAACAAAGATTATAAAATGTCTTAATTCATGTATTCAGATGCTCACTAGTAATAAACTGATAACTTTTGTTGAGCATTTGTGTGCTAAATGTTATATAGACGTTGCTGTGTACTGTCAAGTTGATTCCAACTCATAGCATTCCTATAGGACAGCATAACTGCCCCATAGCGTTTCCTCGGCTGTAATATTTACGGGAACAGATCATCAGGTCTTTTCTCCTGTGGAGTTGCTGGGAGTTTGAACCACTGACATTTCAGTTAGCAGTTGAGTATTTTAATGTTGTGCCACCAGACCTCCTTTTGCAAGCAGCGTTGTATATAATTCTTCCACCAAGTCTGTGGGAGGCAGTAATATTTCTACTTGATGGATGGGAAACTAAGATCTATCAAAATGTAATCACTTGCTTATGGTTACAAAGCCAATCAATTTCAGGCCTAGAATTCTAAGTCATGTCTTTCTAATACCATACTTCATAATTGTGCCATATTGTGCCTGTACTCATAAGATATAAGATGCTAGGAAAATAAAGTTAAAAACCTCTCATCAGTGGTGTTCTCAAACTCTGTAGTAGTGGTCTGTATTTTTCTGATATGTAACAGAAATTGAAAAGGGGCTTTTTAAGTTTTCTTGTCACAAATTTTTCTTTACTGAATGACCTATGATTAAACATTTGTGCTTATTTAATATGGTATCAGCGCTGAACTGCTAACCACAAAGTTGGCATTTAAAGCCCACCAGCTACTCCTTCGAAACCGTATGCAGGGTTGCTATAAGTCAGGACTGACTCAACTACATAGTATGCTTAGAAGACACAGGATAGCATAGGAGATAATAGTTCTGGTTCAGGATTCATGGATTAGATTCAGTTTCTAACTCTGATCTTGGGCTAACTTAACTCTAAACATTTAACATAGTGTTCTGAACCTGGTATGTTTTTAATAAACATTAATTGTTATTTAGGTTTTTTTAGTTTAACATATTAAATGTTAATGGTATTGCACATCCTGGTATTGTGCTATAGGATAAACACTGGACTGCTGTCCAAAGGTAAGCAGTTGAAACCAACCAGCCACTCCTCAGAAACCCTATACAGGGTTGCTTTGAATTGAACTTGACTCCATGGCACTCAACAACAGTGTGATATTTTAAGTGCTATGACATATCAGTAAATTTTAAAAATAGAGATATTTACTAAATCTCTGATAAGTATATTCATTATGTTCATGTTAATTTATGCAAGGGTAAATCAATAAGTATTACTAGAAAATCATAGAAATCTTTACTAAACAAAAATATCAAAATGTGAATCTCTTGTTTCTCCATATATCCCCCATTTAGGTTTATACATTTCTGAAGGCAGTGTTTCCATCTATTTAACACTTCTTTGAAGAATTCTGTACTCTCCAATATTCGTTGTTGTTATTAAGTGCTATTGAGTTGGTTCTAACCCATAGTGACCCGATACCGGATTTCTGAGGAGCAGCTGGTGAGCTTGAATCTCTGACCTTGTGGATCAAACCGACTTTGCAGTCTGGTACATTATCCCGCAGCACCACACCAGGACTCCGCTCGTCAGTATATACCTTGTCAAAATGGCACTTTTGATATTTTCAAGGGGCTCAAATCAAATTCTTCTTAAATGTTCTTTCATTTTGAGGGGCAAAAGGAAGTCTGGAGGGACAAGATCAGGGTTGTAGAATGGATGAGGAAAGGGTTCCCAGTGGAATTTTCTTAGGACAGCCCTTGCTACCCTTGAAGAACAAGTAGGTACATTGTTTTTATGGAAAAAATTCCTCAGTGCAACTTTCTTGACCTTTTTCTCACCAGTGCACTTTTCAATTTTCTTAAAACTGCTTCCCAATAAGCTCCTTCATCATCCTGTGTCCTTTGAGAATATCGGTCAAGATTACCTTTTGGGAGTCCTAAAAAACAATATCTATAACCTTGTGAGATGACTTCTCTGCCTTTAATTTAACTGACCCAGCACATCCCCTTGGAAGCCACTGTTTTAATTGAACCTTTTTATTTGAAGGCACCCTAATAAGACTAAGACAGGTGTATTATTGAGAGAACTTAATGTGCAGCTCTTCACTTATCACAGATACATGTTTAAACATGTTTTATTTGTAATAAACCTGTGCATGTATGAATTAGAACCCTAGTAGCAATACTTTTTTCGCTTACCCTCATATTCTTTTTATTCTTTATCTGGACGTATTATAAAATTTTTTAAATCTCCATAGAAGCTGTTCTTCAAAACCATATCATGGAAGCCAGTTCGTTATTGGTGGTGGTGGTGATTATGTGCCATGGAGTAGGTTCTGACTCATAGTGACCCTGAGCAGGGTTTCCGAGGCTGTAAATCTTTATGGGAGCAGAAAGCCTCATCTTTCTCCTGCGGAACAGCTGGTAGTTTCGAACTGCTGACCTTAAGGTTCGCAGCCCGATTCATAACCACTCCGCTACCAGATCTCCTTATTATTAGGTCCAGTGAATAACGTGGCAGACAGACTTGCTTCATGCATTATGCTGTCTTGTAGATACAGCTTGTTAAACAGGCGGATGAAAGCTGTTAAGGTTTTGTGACCTTTGTGACAACTATGCCCGAATTCTCAGTGTTTTAGCAATTAAGACACAATAATCACCTCAGTGATGAAATCTAATATGGCATCATCACAACCACCCCCATGATGTGATCTGATCTAATTGACCTTGATCTGATGTAATTATTATCATGTGTTGTAAATCTTTACTTTGTTGTTAAGTGTCGTTGAGTTGGTTCTGACTCATAGTGACCCTATATAGGGAGTTCTGGTGTGGCGCTGTAGGTTAGTGCTCCAAACTGCAAAGTCGATGGTTCAAGCTCACTAGCTGCTTCTCGGAAGCCCTGTACAGGATAGCTATGGGTCGGAGTTGACTCAACGTCACTTAACAACAACATATAAGGTTTTTGAGGAGCGGCTGGTGAATTTGAATCACTGACCTTGTGGTTCAAACCAACCTGCAGGTCAAGTGCTTATCCTATGGCACCTATGATGTTAATGAGCCTCACTAAAAAGTTTTATTTAAGTAAAATGTGTTCTTAATTATGTATGACATGTAAATCGTGTGTATTCTATATTGTTGATACTGTTATGACAAAGCATAACATTTCTTTTTGTTTTAGAGATTTCCCCCTTGCTTTGGATGTCGGTTGTGGAAGAGGTTACATAGCACAACATTTGAATAAGGTACATTATTCAATGACATAATTTTACATTGAAGAATAAAATTGGCTTATTGTAAAGAAAGACTTATTTTTTAATCAATTCCATTTGTATCATATTTAGATTTTCATTATGTTATAATTGCTAACTTGTTTTGTTTTTTAAGTTACAAACCAGTGGTTGTTTTTGTCTTTCTGTCTCAAGACTAAGTATTTTTTTTTACAGTGCCCACTCCCCGAAGTCACTATACAAAGGTAAGTCAAAAAGTATTGCTACTAGGGTTCCAGTTCATATATGCATGGTTTTATTCCAAACAAAATGTGTTTAAACATGTCACTAAATCATTGGATGGCTGCAGACAAGTTATTTCAGTGATGCATTTGTCTTAGTTTCAATAGGTTGTTTTCCCCCTTAAAAAAAAGAATGCTTTTTGTTCCCTGGGAAAAAAATAAAGGTCAGAGCTAATACCAAAATTTTAACAAAACTCAAGAGGACATCTTCCCAAATCATTGAAACTTTGCAACAAGTTTATGGGAATGCTGCTTCACATAAAATGTGTTTTTAGATGGGTCAGATGTTTGAAGGAAGGCTGGTGTCTTAGCTATCTGGTGCTGCTATAAGAGAAATACCCCAGGTGTAGGTGATTTTAACTATCAGAAATGTATTATTCACCCGCAGTTTAGGAGGCTCAACGTCTGGATTCAGAGCGCTGGCTCAGGAGAAAAGTCCTTCTCTCCTTTCAGCATCTTAGGCTCAGCATTCATTGGGGATCTCCATGTGTCTTGGCATCAGTCTTTCCTTGGATCTGGGAGCTTCACTGCATGGACCCCAGATTCAAAGGACTCATTCCACTCTGACTCTCCTTTCTTGCTGGTAGTAGGTCCCTCTGAGCTCTTCTTGCTTATTTAATCTCATATCTTAATGTGCTAGACTGCAAAGTTGGTTTGAACCACAAGGTCAGAGGTTCAAGTTCACATGCCTCTCCTTGGAAACCCTATACAGGGTCGCTATGGGTCCGAACCAACTTGACAGCACTAAACAACAACAACATCTTAAAAAAGAATGAACTCAAGATACATGCTAATCCTGTAGATTGCATCTGGCCTCATTAACATCATAGAAGTGAAGATTTACAACATGTGATATAATTACATCACATGAGCGCTGACCACATCATGGAGGGCGAGGATGACGGCGTATTAAATATCACCATGGAGGTGATAACTACATCTTAACTGTTAAGACACTGAGAATTCTGGCTTAGCCAAGTTGTCACTAAACTTTTAACTATCACTGTCAGAAAGACCAGCAACCTGTGGCTGAAGTCCAGAAACTGGTGGAAGAAGACTGTAGAATTTCCACTGATGCAAAAACTGACATTGGACTCTCACATGCTGCAACATTTCCATTTTAAGTAAATGTCTTGCCCTTAGCAAGCTTTTGGGTCAATATCCGCTAACTGAGAGTTGCTCTTTCCATTGATTTTTTAGCAAGATCAAAGCAAATGAGGACAATTTTATGGAACCAATTATAATCAGGAATGAGATTTGAATTTACTGATAGATCCAGAGAGCAAGGTCCAATAAAAAATGGTGTCCTCCAAGAGGATCTCCTGGCCAGTTAGACACAAAGCAGAAAGGTGTGTTCAGAAGGTTATGGTAACTGTTTCTCAGAATTGCCCAGTGATAATTCTGATAGGGAGTCCTGGTATGTTGCATGTAACAACAGTGATAAATCCTGGTAGATTTTCTTGAAAGTCACAGGATGAACACAAACTTATGAAGAATTTTTAAGAAAATCGAGAACTGAAAACTGTGTTGGTGAAAAAAGGCCAGGAAAGTTGCACTGAGGAATCTTACAAGGAACTTAAATTTGTTATTTTGACTTGGTGTGAATCTAAAAGGAACTCCTGGTGTGGTGCTGTAGGATCAGGTCTGCAATTCAGACCCACCAGCTGCTTCATGGAAGCCCTATGGTGTTGTTGTTAGGTGCCATCGAGTCGGTACCGACTGACTCATAGCGACCTTATGCACAACAGAAGGAAACACTGCCCGATCCTGGGCCAACCTCACTACTGTTTCCACGCTTGAGTCCGTTGATGCTGCCACTTGGCCAGTCCATCTCGTTGGGGTCTTCCCCTTTTTCTCTGACTCTCCACCCTACCAAACATGATATCCTTCTCCAGCAACTTGTCCCTCCTGATAATATGTCCAAAGTATGAGAGACGAAGCTTGGCCATCCTGGCCTCTTTGATATCCCATGCGAATAAAGTTTTACTAACGGTAATACAGAAACAGCTGCAATCATACTTTGACAGAGAATTTCCAGAGGTTCCAGCTGGATTCAGAAGAGGCCATGGAACGAGCGATATTATTGCTGATGTCCGATGGATCTTGGTTGAAAGCAGAGAATATCAGAAAGATGTTTACCTGAGCTTTATTGACTGCACAAAGACTTTTGATTGTGTGGATCATGAGAAGCTATGGACAACATTGCAAAGTATGAGTATTCCAGAACACTTAATTGTGCTCATGAGGAATCTGTACATGGACCAAGAGGCAGTTGTTCAAACAGAACATTGAAACACTGAATGGTTTAAAATTGGGAAAGGTGTGCGACAAGGTTGTATTCTTTCACCATACTTATTCAACCTGTATGCTGAGCAAATAATCCGAGAAGCTGGGTTCTTTGAAGAAAAACATGGCATCAGGATTGGAGGACGACTCATTAACAACCTTTGGTATGCAGATGACACAACCTTGCTTGCTGAAAGTGAAGAGGACTTAAAACATTTACTGATGAAGATCAAAGAGCACTGGCTTCAGTATGGATTATATCACAATGTAAAGAAAACAAAATCCTCACCACTGGACCAATAAACAACATTCTGGAAACTCTATACTGGGTTGCTATGAGTTGGAACCTACTTGAGGGCACTTAACAACAACAAATCTCCGAGAATTCTTCATGGAAGGGTTAAAGACATGCAAGCTCCTCCAGAAATGCATTGGCCTGCATGGAGGATATAACGAGAATCAATAGCTTCATATTTGATATTTTTGTTTAAAAATGTTTGATTTTATAGCAGTACTTCTTTACTCAATCTCATATAGTGTTCCTACTACTTTTTTAAAGCCTATGTAAGATGAGTTTCTGTTTATTCCCACTTTGTTAAAAAAGTTTTTTTGATAATTCACAGTAAAACCTGTTTGGCATTAATTAAAAATTAACAAAAAATGTGATTAATTTTTTTTTTTTTTTTGGTAAGGAAAATACTAATTTCATTGGTTGATTAGAAATCTTTCTGAATAATTAAATATATTGTTATTGTTAGGTGCTGTTGAGTCAGGTTCAGACTCATAGGAACCCCATGTTACAGAGTTGTTGTTATGTGCCGTGGAGTGGATTCTGACTCATAGCAACCCAGCACAGGGTTTCCGAGGCTGTCAATCTTCACTGGAGCAGAAAGCCTCATCTTTCTCCCGTGGAACCAGCTGGTAGCTTCGAACTGCTCGCCTGCAGTTTGCAGACCGATTAGTAACCACTGCGCTGATAGGACTTTCTAGGGCATAGTCTTTGCAGGAACAGATCACTAGGTTTTTCTTCCAGGAGTCTTGTTATTGTTGGTAAGTGTTGTCCAGTTGGTTCCAATTCATAGCGATCCTGTATAGGGTTTCCTAGGACTGCTGTTGGGTTTGAACCAGCGACCTTGCAGTCTGATGTTTAAATTACAGCAGGGAGCTGAGGTCCCTGTAAAACAGGCTGAGAGGTCCCTGTAGTCCAGGACTGACCAGAACCAGCTCTACAGGTCTGGACGAGGCCATACCTGATTCCAGGGGCCATAGTTAATTGTGCTAGCTCTCTACACACTTTGATGTGATTTCATCAGCCATAAAGCAAGAGCTTCCCTGGAAATGTATACAGGTGGGGGCCAGCCACACCTCTGGTCACCAGGATAATATGGGATATAGGAACACAAAACAAAAATTTTAAAATTTTGCCACTTTCTCTCCAGCATTAAGCAATACACCTTGGTGGCACTTCTGCCTTCTTGCCTTCAAAGATACCCCCAGAAGTTCAAGATGACAACATTGCGGTTGACCATTCAGCACAGATCTCCGTCCCTCTCTTTTTTCCTTCAGTGTATCTGTTCAGTTACTTCTCCTAATGAGAGCTACTCCTGGACTGGCCAAGATCAGCTCTGCAGATTCAGAGCAGGGCTTGCCCAAACGGGGTCACTGCAAATAGTTCCCCCTCCTTTAATGGGGCCCACAACCACTGGTGGTGCTCACCTCCATGCAGCTCTGACCACGGGGAGTTCAGGGACTTATCTTGGGGGGCGAGGAGTACATGGGTCAGAGGCCGGTGTGGGCAACAAGGGAAAAAAAAAAAAAAAATCACACCTTTGTCTCTGAGCCACAGGTATGTTTCTGCCGTGTCTGTATGTTTTCCTGTCTTTGAAGCCACTCACAAAATCTCAAGATGACTGTGTCTGTCTGGTCAGCAGGCATAGGTCACCAGTTTCTACTTTTTTAGCCCCCTCTGCTGAGCTCTCTCCTAGTAAGCATTCAGTCTACTTCTCTGTCCCTCCATTTGAAATTCAGAGTTCCAGGATTATCATCTGCATCTGCTTCCTTTGGCTTCTGCCTAGTCGGCCATTTTGCCACCTCCTTACTTTTTGCTTATTTAGATCCTGCTGTTAAATATTTACCTGCGAAGCAGTTGCCGTCAGGTAGTTATTGTAGGCCAGGTATTGGTAAGGTTGTATGTTAGGATGTTGTTTTTGTTAAGTGCCGTCGAGTGAGTTCCAACTCATAACGACTCTGTAGGGTTTCCAAGGAGCAGCTGGTGAGTTTGAATCACCTACCTTGTGGTTCCAACTGACCTTGTGGTACAGTGCAATGAGAAATGCAGTGTGGAGTACAAGCAGACAGCTAGAGATGGTTAAAGATGGCTAGAGGTGAGGAGAATTTTCACAATTGTAATTCCTATGCTTGTTGTAAAGTGAGGAAAATAGTGCAGAAGAAAGAGATTAAAGACAGTTGAAGGAGCAGGATTCTGGAGAAAAGACAGCATGGTGTGCAGTGTTAATCGTTTTGCCATTTCTTAATGGAAAGAATGAGTCCTGGTGTGGCACTGTGGGTTAATGCTCTGGACTGCAAGGTTAGTTTGAACTGCATTGGCAGTTCAAGTTTACCATCTGCTCCTCAGACATCGTACACAGGGTCGTTATGAGTTAGAACCTATTCTGCGACACTTAACAACAACAACAACATTGGAAAGGAGAGAGAATAGGTGAAGCAGAAGGAAGATAAAACAATTTCAAGACTCTGCATTTGTTAAGTGTTATACTACTCTGAATAACAGAAAGCTAGAAAACCGTTCTGGGTCCTTTATATCTGTGTAACTTCATGTGTTAATGTTATTTTTGTACCATATTGGTGGTGTGTAAAAAAATATTCTTACAAAGCAGCAAATGAATGCATAATTATGACCTTCTCTTAGCAGTAGCAAAAATTGTTCATTCTAAAGAATTTTTTTACTGTTCTTTGGTTCCTCATCTGATCAGATTTCATTATTTCATTGCAGGAAACTGTTGGAAAGTTATTCAAAGTAGACATTGCAGAAAATGCTTTGGTAGGTAGCTTTATAGTACTGTTGGTTTCTGATCTCCTGATTTACAATTTCTTATTCTTTCATTTTTATCTTCCTCAAAATAAAAATTGCTCCATTGATTTGCAAGAATTATAAATGTGACACATATGAAGAAACCACGCAGGAAATACAAAGGATAAAGGAAATCGTCCTTAGAATTCCATGACAAGTTGGGAGGTATAAACGCCCCAGCCACTGCTCAGAAACCCTCCTATACATGGTCACTATGAGTTGAAACTGACTTCATGGCACTTAAGAACAACAGTCCCACCACTCAGAGCAACCATTAGGGATATTTGGTCTTTGCCTTTGCAGATACGAGTATAACTGTCACAGTATTATACAAATGGACTTTTGCTATGTTTTTTGCACAGTGTCATTTCTATGTTAATGTTTACATAGGCTTTTGAAATGGCTATACAGTATTCCTGTATATAAATTTCCTATGGATTATTTTTAAGTTATTTTCTACTGAGGCATATTTTTATTTCTAGTGTTCATCGTTCAGCACTGATAGATATTCTTTATAAAATAAGTTTGTGTATTTGGTTGATTTTTCTCCATGGGGATAATTCTTGGTAGTGGGTTTTATGTATTAAGTGGTATTCATTTTTAATTTCTGATTTACATTTCAAGACTGAACAAGGCTATTATATGAAAGTGTTTTTTTCACCTTTTCTTTGACAACACTAGTTGTCAGTCATTTTAAACTGTCAATCTCATAGGCAGAAAGTAGGATATCATTTTAAATTTTATTTGCTTTTTAAAATTTTTTTTTTAAATATCTGTGCAACCAAATAGCTGTTGGTGTCTGCAAAAACCAAGTGGGAGTCATGTCTAACTTCCCCTGGCTTCACAAGGGGGAAAGAGAATCAAACTCAAAATCAGCCCGAGGCAGATTCCTAAACAACGGACGTCAGACATGCTTCTACTCTACAACCTTCTTTTTACCTTATTCTTGCACCAGCCATTCCTCCCACAACATTCTGCTTCACATCTGGGTTTGATAATCCATTGCAGTGGCCACACAAAACTCATAACAGTACTCACGATTATGGGGTTTATTAGGGAAGTCATCTGGGTAAAATTAAGGATCAAAACCAACTCAGGATATAGCAATTCTCAAGTCAAGAAAGCCTCTTGTCAGGCATACTGCAGGCACACCTCACTCTTGTCTTCAGCCTCTCAGCCATGTGGTCCCTTTGGCCCCTGCCCTGTTCTGGCAAGTATTACACAGTTCTTGTAGCCAGTCTGTGAATGCCCAAAAGGCACATTCTGCATGCCAGTTCTGGCTGTAGGTACTCATCTTTACTTAGTCCATGGACCTAAAGCCTGAAGCTGCTCTCTCTCTGTGCCACCCACTAAGCCATCACCTCTGCTGTTGCTTCTGCCATCGCTGTTTCTCTAGGTAGGGATCTTATTGATCACTTCTGTGCTTCCTTGATGGTCCTGGGATCTTCCTTCTCTGCTTCCAAGATGACTCCTTTTAAATGTAGCTGGAGGACAAAACTAACCAATCCCAGCATTAGAGTCCTGTATACCTTATTTGCATGGTCCCACCCAATCACTTTGTAGGAATTAAGAAGACTTGGATAGAAAAGCCTTATCAAGTAAATTTAAGACACCACAGTGTCTTTTGGCTATTGGTATTTTATTAGTTTGTAAATTGCCTGTACCTTGACCTTTATTTTAAATTTTGCAAACTCTTTCTTACACTAGGTGACTTGTAAGAACTTGCTTTCTAGAGATGTTAATTCTTTATCATATGGCTTATAAGTATTTTTGTTTATATTTAATTCATTCATAATCAAATGTATAGTTTTTATCCTTTATAGTTTCTGGCTTTTGAGTCATATTTATTAAGTATTTTTCACCTAAGAGTATGAAAATATTCACCCATATTTTCAACTAGTACCTTTTTACACTGAAACTGTGACCCTTCTGAGATTTGTTTAGTGTGAGATGGGCATTCTGCTTATGCTTTTTCAGCTAAATAGCTAGGTTTTGTAGCTGGTCGTAAATGTCATTTAACAGGTAGTTTTTGCATGCCTTATAAATAATTTCTGGAAAATATTTGTTGTTGTTGTTGTTGTTAGGTGCCATCGAGTTGGTACTGACCCATAGCGACCTTATGCACAGTGGAACGAAACACTGCCCAATCCTGGGCCAACCTCACCACTGTTGCCACGCTTGAGTCCATAGATGCTGCCACTTCGCCAGTCCACCTCATTGGGTGGTCTTCCCTTTTTCCTCTGTTCCGCCTCCTTACCAAACATGATATCCTTCTCCAGTGACAATATGTCTCTCCTGACAATATGTCCAAAGTATGAGAGACGAAGTTTGATCATCTTGGCCTCCAAGGACCACTCTGGCTGCACTTCTTCCAAAACGGATATATTGGTTATTTTGGCAGCCTGTGGCACTTTCAATATTCTCCTCCAACACCATAACTCAAAAGCATCAGTTCTTCTGTGGTCTTCCTGATTCACTGTCCAGCTTTTGTATGCTTATGAGGTTATTGAAAATACCATGGCTTGGGTCATGTGCACCTTAGTCCTCAAGCTGTCATCTTTGCTCTTTAACACTTTAAAAAGGGCTTGTGCAGTAGATTTGCCTAATGCAATAGTGGAAAGTATACTGCCACATAAATACAACAGGACTTCAAAAAGTTTGTGGAAAAAATTCCATTATTTTTTAATTCTATTTTTTTGAAACCCCCTCATATAACATTGCTTAAATTTGACAGTGATTGTGCTAGTAATTGAGTTACTAATTAGCTTTTTTTTGCTTTTATATTTTATCTTAGAAACATACTTTAGAAACAGAAGTTCCTACTCACAGTGTTTTAGCTGATGAAGAATTCCTTCCCTTCCGAGAAAATACATTCGACCTGGTGGTTAGCAGTTTAAGGTTTGTAATCCTCTTGTACTTTTAAAATGTACTAGATGTAAGTAGATAATGTATGCTATTAAGTTTTAGTAAAAGGTAAAGAATATAGATAATGCAATAAATTCTTATTAGCTATATATCACAAAACAAAAATAATAAACTTTGGTTTGTAAATTATAAAATTTCTCTAATAAAGAATTATGTATTATATACTCATTGTTGTGGTTGTTGTTAAGTGCCATCATGTTGTTCCGACTCATAGTGATGCTGTATAAATAGGGTTTCCGAGGAGTGGCTTGAACAGCTGACCTTGTGGTTCAAGCCGACTGTGCAGTCCAGTGCATTAACCTACAGTGCCACACCAGTACTCCATATGCTCCTTAGTGTAGATAATGGTCTTAAAAGTCTTAACCATTTCTCTGTTGGTTTTTCAGTTTTCTAAAGCTTATCTGTGATAGAAGAATTTTCCTCCCTGTTACAAATTGATATCCTAGAACTGATAGTGATGGGTGTGGGTGTTTGAAAGAGTATACTGGCAACAGTATTCAAATATCAGAAAACAGTATCATAAAACTTACGTTGTCAAATTAGAGAAAGTTTGTATTACCTATGTCTTATTGACTGTGCAAAGGTCTGTGATTGTGTGGATCATGATAAGCTATGGACAACATTGTGGAGCATGAGTATTCCAGAACACTTCATTGTGCTCATGAGGAAACTGTACATAGACCAAGAGGCAGTTGTTTGAACAGAACAGTGGAGTGTTGAATGGCTTACAATTAGAAAAGGTGTGTGCCAGGCTTGTATTCTTTCATCATACTTAATCTGTATTTTGAGCACATACTCTTGTTGTGTCTCAATTTACCCAAATGACCACTCAACACTCTCAGGATCGATAAGGAAACCTTTATTAGCTGGCCAGCGACTACAGCCTCCCAAAAGCAGGAAAAACTGAAGCCCTGACCCAGTTTTTCAAAGAGTATTTATACATAGGTAGTCAGACATTATCTTGTACAAACCAAGTGTATGATGTATGCATGAGCTATTAGGGTGGGGGCTAGGAGTACATCCGCTGGGACAGTTACTTCTCAAGATTACCTTGGGGATACGGGTACATCTGCCTGGACAGTTAGTTTTCAAAATTAACTGGCCAGCTGCTTTTCAAGGTTAGCCTTAATCGCTAGCCACAGTATCCTGTGAGTAAGGCAGGCCCACTCATGTGAGGAATTTGCGTAAGCAGTGTTACAAAAGCCAAGTTTAGCCACAGTTAAGGGGGAAGGGGGCTTCTGAATCCAAGGGAGTTGTTAATGCTAAACATTTCCCACTGCAGTCTGATCCTTTCTTAAAAATTAAGTTACTATAGGGCAATTGGGCCTTACACTCTGAGAATCTGGATTTTATGAAAGAAAAATGTGGCATCAGGATTGGAGGAAGACTCAGTCTCCAATATGCAGATAATAACAACCTTGCTTGCTGAAAGCGAAGAGGTCTTAAAATACTTACTGATGAAGTTCAAAGAACACAGCCTTCAGTATGGGTTGCATCTCAATGTGAAAAAAACAAAAATCCTCACCACCAGACCAGTAAATCCCATCAAGATAAATGGAGAAAAGATTGAAGTTGCCAAAGACTTTAATTTGCTTGGATCCACCATCAACACTCAAGGAAGCCACAGTCCAGAAATCAAATGGTGTATTGCATTAGGCAAATATGCTGCACAAGACCAGTTTAAAGTGTTCAAGAGCAAATATGTCAGTTAGAGGACTAAGGGGTTGTTATTGTTAACTGTTATTTTCAATAACCTTCTAAGCATGTAAAAGTTGAACTGTGATAGGGAAGTCCATAGAAGAATTGATGCATTAGAGTTATGGTGTTGGAGGAGTATATTAAAAGTACCATGGACTACCAAAAGAACAAACAGATCTTTGTTGAAAGAGGTACAGCCAGAATGCTCCTTTGAATCCAGGATGGCCAGCCTATGTCTCTCATACTTCAGACAAATTATCAGATGGAACCAGTCCCTGGAGAAAGGACATCATGCTTGGTAAAGTGGAAGGTCATCAAAAAAGAGGAAGACCCCCAATGAGATGGATTGGCACAGTGACAGCAGCAATGGGCTCAAGTGAGGCAGGGGTTGTGAGGTTGGTACAAGATAGGACAGTATTTTGTTCTGTTGTGCATAGGGTCATTATTAGTTGGTACCAACTCGATGGCACCTAACAACAACAAAGTATTTCCTTCAGCTCTATTTTTTCTGCCAGAATTAAAGTTCTCAAAGTTACTTTTCCCTTGGAATTTATTCCACAGGCATGTATTGTAAATACTTATTGAATAATAACTTATTATATATAAGGTATTTTTGGTGGATTCATTTGAGAGGTAGTTAAAATTAATTCAGACCAAGATCTATCCTCAAAGAATTCAGAATGTAATAGAGAAAATAAATATTCTATGTGGTTTCTTAATTCTCCTACTTTATTATTATAAAACTAATCAAACTCATTGCCACTGAGTCAGTTCTCAGTCATGGCAACCCTGTATAGGGTTTTCCAGGCTATAAATCTTTATGGGCACAGACAACCCAGTCTTCCTCCTGTAGTGTGGGTTGTGGGTTTACACTGCTGATCTCACTCTGTCACCAGGGCTATTGTCATTGTTACAATCCAGTAGCTTTTCTTCAAGGTTCAATATGCCCTCCATGTCCGCTATAACACTTTTGATAACTATTTTTAGAGTTACAGCCATTTCAGTTTGATTAGGCCTTTTGCTGGGTTAAGTGTTTATTGTGAATTGAGTGCTAGTTTACATGGGAGAACATCAGTTTTATACGCATCGTTTCATTGTAATGATGACAATACCCTCCGTATATCATCATTTAACAGTATTTGCTTCTATTGCCTCTGTTTTTTGTTTTTCTTTTTGTTTTGGGGGCGGGCGGGGGAAGTACACAGAAACACTCAGGAATAATCATTTAAGCAACCAAAGGGCTCATTGTACAAGCCTGCCAGCAAACAGCCTTTCTCTCTCTATGAGTCTAGAGTCCTCAGCTGCATTTCTCTCCATGTCCTCATGTCTGCCTCCATCTCTGGTGTCACTATTCTCGATAGGATCCCGCATTCCGCTCATGCTCTTCTCCCTTGATGGTCCTATTGTCCTCTGTTCTTGGACTATAAGATTAACTACTCCCCTCTTTTTGTTACAAAACTTTACCTTTACAGTTATGACAGTTGTGATTAGTCATGATAACAATTACTCACTATTGAATCATAAGAATCTTATTCCCATCTCTTTCACCAGACCTGTCTAGACAAAATGAAAACTTCCCCCACACATTCTTAAAACTAACCTCACCCTTGAAATCTTGTAAGCCAGTCACTTTGTGTCTTTATCGCCCCCTCATTTTAGGTAACCAGTGTCTAAGTTGCCCATCCATATCAACTCTGTATACAGAGGGGATAAGATTGATACTTAATGTGATGACTCCTTCCCTCTCAGTTGGTGTTTTGAGCTACTACAACCATAAGTATAGGTCAAGTTCATCAAATTGTAGCAATTTACACTCGTTTCCTTGATCAATTTTTTTGTTTTTTTTAATCTTCCTCTAGTCGAGTTCTGATCATCTAGCGATTGAAACTAGGTCAAATGGGTACTATCTGCAAGTTTGGGCGTTCGTGTGTGTCCCCTTAGTTCATGTCAGCTGGATGCTTCACTCTCAGCTCTAGCCTTCTGTGGCTATGTCCTTGTCCATGGATTCAGGAGTCCCCAGGTCTCACCATACTTTGGACCAACCAGCTCTTTCTCTTCTCTCTCTTATCTCCAGGTCAATAGGAATCTATGGAATGTAGTTAAACTCAGCCCATTTCTTCATTGCTGCCTTTCCCCCCTTTCACTCACTGGGATACCAATGTGATCACTAGCAAGCTTACATGCTTGCTCCTATGTTCCCTTTTGAGTTTCAGTCTGGAGGGGGGTTTGTCCTGAACGGACTTCATTGCCTGCCTTTTAATGGATCCCTGGCGAACAACTTGCTTGTTCTTGTAGTAGCCATTCAGACTGCCTTTTTTATTTTGGATTTTTCCTGCTGATCTTACTTTCAAGAAGTATCTTCTGTTGTTCTAGCTATCCTTTCAGCTTATCCGTTACAGTGGGAGTGTCCAACCTCAGAAGGTTTTGATGGGACTCAGGATCCCACCTACGGTCCTATACACTACAAAAGCTCCATACGGAAGCCTGTTTCCCTGGGGAATTCTAGAACCCCTTTTAGATATTCCAATCAGTTATAGGCTGGAGACGGACTTACATCTTCTGCTTGCTTTTTGCAAGTAACTAATTCTTATGGTTTTCCTTTCTTCACTAGTATATATGGCTCTATCAAACAAATCTATTCTCAAAGTTTAGTAGGCTAGAAGTCTAGAAACGTGCTGGCTCTAGGGGAAGGCTTTCTTTTTCTATCAGCTCTGGGGAAAGGTCCTTTTCTACATGCAGCATCTGCAAATCCATCTTTCCTTAGAAATCTCTTTATGTGTTGACATTAATCTTCACAGTACAAGGACCCCAGGTCAAACGGACACATTCCACTCAGGCTCTTTTTCATGGTCCCTTTTTCTTGATTCTTGTCTCTCTCCTTTTATCTTTGTGAGATGAAAGGTGTTGCAGGACACACCCTTGGGAAGAGTCTCTTATATCATATCAGGATGTGAAGAGATTAAGGGTACTTTCTTGTAAAATGCCATTCATCCAAGTCAGTTATATAAAATGAGAAAGCTATTTTAGTATTGGCATTTAACTACCACCACCAGGAGACCCTTGGACTCCTGGTGTGGCTCTGTACAATCGGCACTGGACTGTGAACCATAAAGTCAGTAGTTCAAATCCTCAGTATTTGAAATCCTTTACAGGGTTGCTTGCTATGAGTTGGAACCTTCTCAACTAGTATGATATAGCTTATAATATGACCTCCCTACTTTTAAAGTTTCTAATTTTGGAAAGCATTTTGAAAGATAAATGTAGGTGTGGCATATTAGGATGTGAATTGAGTATTTAGCACTCATGTTAAAGGGATACCAACTCTGTGAAATATGTATGCTCAGGCTCCACAGTGACTAGGTGTAGTCTGACTCTTGCTGTCACATATGACCAAACACTGGGAGACAGCAAATGAATCAGATGACAAAGGAAAAGGTTTCTTAAACCAAATATTTTGTTCCCCTTTGTTGAGCTAAATATGATAAAACTTTAGTTTAAATAAATAGAAAGTTGGAGTTTTTTTTGTTTTGTTTTGTTTTAAATAAGTAGAATACTATTTATCAGAAAACTTTATGACTTGTTTTTGGTGAATAATGCTGTTTGCCTTGGGAGAATTTTATGTATGATAATAGCATTTTTTTTTTTTAAATAGGAAAATCTGACTTAAAATACTGTATTTCTCTGACTTGTCTGGTAGATTTAATTGTTGAGCTTCTTTGAAAATGTCATCAGGTGTTTATTTTTATTATTTTGTATAGATAAGATCTCAAAATCGCTGTTTAGATGAGAGGCTCAAGTAGGAATTATTTTTACTTTTTCCGTAATAGATACTAATTAGGTAGCTAATCAAACCTTATGTTTTACTTAAGCAAAGAAGGTGATATACTCAAATGGAGAAATTGTTTATTGTGAGCATAACAGTTTCCCCTAGGAATATTTATTATTTTAAAATGTGAATGTAATCTGAATTTTGACATGCTTGTTTCAGACTGTAAAATAATACTTTTTTTTGCTTATCATTCCAGTAAGAATAAAACAAATATATATTTTCATATTTTAGTTTGCACTGGGTGAATGACCTTCCTAGAGCACTTGAACAGGTATTTAAATCCATGTTCATTATAATATCCTGTATTGATTATTATTAGATAACCTACAGTGGTGCTGTACAATAAATATTCGGTTTCTAACTGCAAGGTCAGTGATTCAAATCCACCAGTCACTCATAAGAAACCCTGTTATTCTGTTGCTGTAAGTCAGAACTGACTCAGCAACATTTAACAATAGAACTTCGGTTTTTACAAACTATTTACATATAGATCTGAAAATGGGAAAATGAAATCTACTGAAGTATATATTATCTCAGCAAGCTATGTTAGGTGTCCTTTGGCATATTCAGAAGCACTGTGGGTATTTCCACCTCCTCAAGAATTTAAATAATCCTATAGTAGAGACCACAGTAACTGTACAAAATAATATTGATACCACAAAATATTTTATATGTGGGTTCCTTCTCTCTCTTAATTGCCAAGAAGCATTTTGTGGTAATCGATCTGATTATTTATTCATATTTTTATCTTCTCCAATGCCAAAGCAGTTCCCAAGTCCAACTTATGTCAAAGAGAAGGAAAATAGATTCCATCTTTTGATGAGATTTGTTATAAAATGGCATGTAAAAGAGCGCAAATACAGGAATGATTGTGATTTTGTTTTTCTGTGAGCAATTTACAGCCCCTAAGATTTGTGTTTATATTTTAGTATTTTCATTATAAAGGTAAGACCTATTATTAGCAATTTAAAAAATATACAAATGATTATTGTAGCTAATATTATCAGTGAATATGTTATCTATTTTCATATCTATATTGTACAGCAAAGACTTTCTGACAACTGCTGTCAAGTGTGTTTTGCTCATAGCAACCCTGTGTTGGGTTTCTGAGGAGCAGTTGGTGGATTTGAACTGTTGACTTTAGTTGCCTTTTGTTGTTTTTGTTTTTAAGTGCTGTCAAGTCGGTTCTAACTCATAGTGACCCTGTATAGGGTTTGTTGTTGTTGTGTGCCATTGTGTTGATTCTGACCCATAGCAACCCTGTATAGGGTTTCTGAGGAGCAGCTGGTGAGCTTGATCCGCCGACCTTGCAGTTCAAACAACTTTGCTGTCTGGTGCAAAGTGCCACACCAGGATCCCCTGTATAGGGTAGATGTTGTTTATTTAGATCAATTATCAAACTATTAATTTGGCATCCTTCCAAAATAATAGTGATCATAAACCATTTATTTAGGCACCATATGTTTATTCTTTGAACATTATTATATATAGAATTGTGAATTGCTTTGTTTTGCATTTATTACAGATTCATTACGTTTTAAAGCCAGATGGAGTGTTTATTGGTGCAATGTTCGGAGGTGACACACTCTACGAACTCCGATGTTCCTTGCAGTTAGCAGAAATGGAAAGGGAAGGAGGATTTTCTCCACACATTTCTCCCTTCACTGCTGTCACTGATCTAGGACATCTTCTTGGCAGAGCTGGCTTTAATACACTGACTGTGGTAACTATCAAGAGAAGCAAGTAACCTGTTAATGACATAGCTAAGAAACAACATACTCTCCTCTTAAAGATAGAAAGCTGCATGTATTGATGGTATTGTCTAAAGACTTTTTCATAAGAAAAAGTTCTTATTGAACATGTTCAATTTGTGTCAACACATTTTGATTGACACAGATAGGAATATGATACTACTTAAATAAGTTGTTTTTTGTTGTTGTTAAGTACCATGGAGTCGGTTCCGACTCATAGCGACCCTGCACAGGGTTTCCGAGGCTGTAAATCTTTACAGGAGCAGAAATCCTCATCTTTCTCCCGCAGAGCAGCTGGTAGTTTCGAACTGCCGACCTTGAGGTAGTAGCCCGATTCGTAACCACTACACTACCAGAGCTCCTTACTTAAATAAGTAGTAAAAAACAAACGGTACCAGTTAATAAGGAGACTGTTTTCTGTAGCATACTACATCAGAATCTTAAAATCTAGAGTTAGGTTTAATATGGAATTTATAGCATTCCAAATGATAGAAAAAAATGGACATATAGTAACAGTATTATCTTCACCTCCGTTGAAGTAGTGCCATTTGTGTCAGAAATGTTGTTGTTATTATGTGCCGTGGATTTGGTTCTGATTCATAGCGACCCTGTAAAGGGTTTATGAGGCTGTAAATCTTTATGGAGCAGAAAGCCTCATCTTTCTCCCCCAGAAGAGCTGGTAGTTTTGAACTGCTGTAAGAGAATGTAAATTTGGGAGGCCTAGGAAGTGTGAAGTGCCTTGGCCCATGGTAGATGTTTAATAAATATTAATCCTCTTCTCTATTGCTCTACTCCTAGACTTTCCTAGACTGGGTTTCCAACAGGGACCCATCTGTGCTTCTAACTGCTTCCTTCCAATTCCCTCCAGTAGCAAAGTCATTCTAAAAGGACATGATTACCTTTCTTCGGAGATGGGTTGAGTAGACTTAGATGAATTTCCAAATCCCTTGGGCCCAGAAGCATTTCTAAACCTAATTAAAGGAAGTAGGAAATTTCTTGATGAATAAAGCATTACATTTCATAATTGGTGGTGGTGGTGGTATGCCGTGGAGTCGTTTCTGACTCACAGTGATCCTGTGTAGGGTTTCCAAGGCTGTAAATTTTGACAGGAGCAGAAAGCCTCATCTTTCTCCTGCAGAACTGCTTGTAGTTTTGAACTGCTGACCATGAATGAGATTTACAGCTGACTCATAACCACTACGCTACCACAGCTCCTACATACATTTCATAATTAGAGGTGATATATTCAAAAATACAAGGGGACTTCAAGAAGTTAATGAAAAACGAAATTAAAAGATAATGGAATTTTTCCATGTACTTTTAAAAGTCCTCTGGTAAATGTTTGAGGTGGTTTGCTGTGAATATGCTTCATTACATTAATTAAAAAATGGATTGTCATAGCCTTCCTTGTTGTAAAAGACGACAAGGGCTATGTATATTACAGGGTGCCTGAGGTTGGAAAGGCGCTCCCAGGAAGGGAGGTATCAAAATGCTGTAAGAAAGACTAGGAACTAAAGACAAACCTCAGGACTTAGTAATCACAGCTAGGGTTGGCCTTTACTTTAAAACTTTACAGTTTCTGAGTCAAATAAAAACTGAAAACTGCATTCAGAGCAGTTAATGAGCAACTGAAAGTTAGAAAACTCAGTTTCATCTGAGTGTTTGCTTTGTTTTATAGGCATACCTCAAAGATATTACAGGTTTAGATCTAAATCACTGCAATGAAGTGGTTAGCATACCAAAGTGAATCGTGAAATTTTTGGTTTGCAGTGCATATGAAAGTTATGCTTACTGCACCAGAGTATAGTCTTCTCAGTGTGCAATAGCATGAAAAGGTTGCAGTGTTGTCACAATTGCCAGATTGTGGCACAGAGACATGAAGTAAGCACATTCTGTTGGAAAAATGATGCCAAAAGACTCTGGAGACAGGATTGCTGCAAACCTTCAAATTGTGAAACATGCAAAAACGAAGTATGCCTGTTTAAAAAACACTATTAACACAGGCAGTTGTACATTGAAAGAACACTGTATTTATTAATCATTTTTAATTTTATAAGTGTTGCACAAATAAGAGGTTAAGTCAAAAAGTATTATTGCTATAAGATCATAGAAACCTCTCTTAAATGTATCAGGACATGAAGACGCTATTATTTTTCGACATACCCTTCATCTGTGTCTATATACTTCTGAAAGCTGTGTTTCTGTCTCTAACTCTTCCCCAAAGAAGTGTGCAATCTTCAGTTTACACCAAGTCAAATGGCAATTTGGGCATCCACACAGAACACAAATCATATTCCTGAAGCAGTATTAGGGCTATAAAGTGGATGGAGTAAAGTTTCCCATTAAAATCCTAGTCCTCATTATACTTGAAGAATGAGCAAGTGCACTGTTGTTATAGAAAGAAATTCCTTGATGTTACTTTCCTGGCCTTTTTCTCATTAACAAAGCTTTCAGTTTTCTTTTAAATTACTCATAATCAACCCACATAATCATCCTGTGTCCTTTGAGAAAATCTATCAAGATTATTACCCCTTTTTAATTCCCCAAAATAGTCACCAGAACTTTCTGATACTAACCTCTCTGCCTTGAATTTAACTGGTAGTAGATCACTTTGAAACTCGCTGTTTTGATTCGATGTTGCTCTCTGGATCATATTAGTAAATCTAAAACTAACTGATTACAATTTGTTCCATATAAAAGTTTCTTCATTAGCTTCAATCTTGCTTTAATGAAAAGAGAAACAGTTTGCTGATGCCAAGATGTTTACTCAATATTAAAAATGCCAGACCATGTAAGATACTAACTGTAGTAGCTCTTCTGTCAATGTGAAGTCTGTGGTCTGCTTCCACCAGTTTCTGAACTTCAGCCACAATTTGTCAAGGTTGACTCATCTTTGAAGTCTTCCTAATTTTTCTTAAAATGCTTGGTCCATCTAAAAACTTTTATTTTTGGAGCCACGTTTTCGTAAACTTGTTGTAAAGCTTCAGTGTATGAAAAGATACCCACTTAAGTTTCATTAAAACTTTGATAATTAGCCCTGACCTGTAAATTGTTTATTTCCATGGCACAGAAGGCACCGTAATGAGACTAAGACAGGTGTATAACTGAGAAACCTTTTCTGCAGCCATCCACTAGTCACATATTTAAAAAGGTTTTTTACATAACCCTCTTACATTTTGATTGGAAATTTATACAAATGAAATGAAAATCTACTATTTCCTTTAATCCTAAAAATTTTAGCTCTCAAGATCAGCAGTTTTTTCTTTTTGAAACATTTATATTGTGAAATGAGTAAAGGTTTGCAGAGAAGATCAGAAGATCATCAGTTTTATATTCAACGAATCGTACCTTTTATTTCACCTCTAATTTTGCAATCCCCTCCTTGTAACAAAGTTATCCCACTTCCTGCTTGTATTTCTTATTTCCATCCCACCTTCCTTCCCACCCTTCTCAACTTTCTCCTTAGGTAAATGTTGCCCTTTTGATTTTGAATGATTGATTCCATGGTGAGCATACCTTACTAGTGGATATGCTTATCTACTGCTTGGATGAAAATTGAGTCAAAAGTGTTAACTGACTTCTTTTCTAGACCTGAAGGCTGACCAAGGGCCATAATGTCAGGTTCCTCCAGCCTCTTTCTGACCAATTGACCATGGTGGCCCCTGAGACAATGGTCCTCAGACCCAGCCCCAGCAACTCATTGCCTTAAGATATTTGGTAATATCTAAGAAGTTTAACTCATTGTGGTGCTATGGCTTAATGTGCTGGACCACAAAGCTGCTTTGAACAGCAAGATCAGTGGTTCAAGCTCACCAGCTGCTCCTCAGAAACCCTATACAGGGTCGCTGTGGGTGGAACTGACTCGATGCCACTTAACAACAACAACAAAACGCTCCGCCATGGAGTCCTGGTGTGGTGCTGTGGGTTAACACGCGGGAACTGCAAAGTCAGTTTGAACCATAAGGTCAGTGGTTCAAGCTTATGAGCCACTCCAAGGAAACCCTATACAGGGTCGCTGTGGGTTGGCACTGACTTGACAGCACTTAACAACATGCTCCACCACATTCATAGGTGTGTTTGGAGCAAAGGGAAATACATACATACAAACATCCTTGGTCAAACTCTTATATATATATGTGTGTATGCTACCACTGTTCCTCCCATACATATTTGCCTGTGTTTATCTGTCCATGTATCTACCTATAGAACACTGTTTCTCCAGGGTTGTGTATATAACAGTGTTTATCTCTATCCCCTTTAACCCTGTATTCCTTTCTGTATCTTCACTAATCATTCTCCTGCTAACCATCTTCTTCTTGAATATTGTCCTCCCCAATAATTTTGGTCTCAAAAATTATAAAAGACCCTAAAACTCTTTGTTAGGAATTAAAACTGAATTATCTTACTATCCTTTTAAAACTGATGATAATAAACCTATTACATGTTAATAAACTAGCCTATTTTATGAGAAAGAGCTATAGTTTCCCCCCAAAAAAATAATAATTTAGAGAATTCCATTGCCTTAAATTTCTATAATGTGTAGCTTAATAGAAGAGAGCTGAATTCTCGTATCTGCTTCTATGTTCAGATACCACATATCTTGTGATACCACATGTCCAGAAAACTCCATTGTATACTTATGAAAGAATGAGAGGTGAAAAGACAATATCTTAGTAGTATTATGAAAATGATTTTGACCTTGTAAATCCCCCCAAAGGACTTATGGAACCTCAGGGGTCTGCAGACCATACTTTGAAACTGCTGCCTCTAAGATATTTATGACTAACAAACAGTTCAATATGTAATATTTCAGGTTTTTTTAAATAAAAAATAAATGCTGTACTATACTATACATAAGGAGCTCTGGTAGCGTAGTGGTTACGAATCAGTCTGCTAATCTCACGGTCAGCAATTCGAAACTACCAGCTGTTCTATGGAAGAAAGATGAGGCTTTCTGCTCCCGTAAAGATTTACAGCCTCAAAAACCCTGTACAGGGTCGCTATGAGTCAGAACCAACTCCATGGCACATAACAACAACAACAACATACTATACATACACACACATATTTTTCTGAAGCTCATTTCTCATTCATAGCAGTATATTTCATAATTTTTTTGTACCAGCATAGCTACATTTGCCTTCCTTTTTTACTTCTGCGTATTTTGTAGTAAGGACCCTGGGTGGTACAAACAGTTGGCTCTTATCTAACTTAAAGGTTGATGGCTTCATCCCATTCACTGACACCATGCAAAAATGGTCTGTCAAAATTGCTTTTGTAAAGATTGTTGTTGTTAAATGCTGTGGAGTGGGTTCCAACTCATAACAACTCTGTGTAGGGTTTCTGAGGAGCAACTGGTGACTTTGATCCACCAACCTTGTGGTTCAAGCTGACCTTGCAATCCAGTGCTTATCCTACAGCGCCACAGCAGGACTAGAAGATCCAAATAACACAGGGACATTGTGTTCCAAATTGATTTTGTTATTCATATGTGAAGAAAAGGCCTTGTAGTTTTCACCAGATCTTAAGAGAGGACTATTGGGGGCACTTTAGGAAATGCACTGAACTTCTAACCGTTAAGATCAACAACAGTTCAAACCTATCAGCCACTCCCCAGAAACCCAATAGAGAATCACTGTGTAGTAGAACCAACTTTACAGCATTTAACAACAAAACCAACAACATGACTTAATTAGGAATCGCTGATTTATAGTCTTAAATGTCTCATGTTTAGTTACTTGCACTCTTAAAAAAGTTACCTTTACAGTCTCCCCTTTTACGAATGGTCTCCCACATTGCTGAAGAATGCTGCTAACTAATTAACACTGGTTCATTCATTTGTGACCATCACTGAAATTGAAACAGTCCCAAATTTGTAAAATGTAGGTGTACTAGAGCAATTATAGGAAAGAGAAAATTTCCAAGTTGAAGTACTAGAATGGAAGATTAGGAAGATGCATAATGCAGGAGGCTAGATTATTGCTAGGGCTCTGGAGAGCAACACACATTCACCCAAAATAGTATGTTCTGCTGCCATCTTGAGCTGGACACCATTGTTTTCCACTCTATAGCTCAAGCAGTTTGGTTGCTGTCCAACAAACAGATTGTCCTTGTTTTCTCCGTATGAGATTAAGCTTCTAGGTAGGACATGAATTTGTAATTTTTTAAAATTATTGTTCTGGTGCAACCACATTTTACAAAGTTTAAGTGTTCTAGTTTCGCTAAATTGGTCATGACTGAACTGGAAAGAACTGGTTCGAAGCCCTCTTGGCTAAGTTGCATACCTGTAATTAAGGTGAAAAGAAGAGAGTCTTTGATTGGGAAAATAAAGTCCCTGAAAACTCTGTGAGGAGAAAAATGTAAGGGATTTGGGCAACATGCAGAAGTTAAGTGAAAATTTTCATGAGTTGGTGTTAAATAGTTTATGCCAACAGTTTGTTGTTAAGTCCCATCTAGTGGGCTGCAACTCATAGTGATCCTGTAGAGTGTTTCCTCCAAGGAGCAGCTGGTGGGTTTGAACTACTGACTTTGCTATATAGCAGTACAGTGCTTATCACATGCTGTTGTTGTCAGGTACCGTTGAGTCAGTTCCAACTCATAGTGACCCTGTATAGGATTTCCAAGGATCAGCTGGTGGATTTGAACTGCTGACCTTGTGGATCGCAATCCAGTGCCGATCTCACAGTGCCACACCTGGAGTCTGCTTACCATATAACATCACAATATGTAGTCTGCATCATACTATTACTCTGGTCAATACAATTTAGTCAACGATATTTGGGAACTCAAAATTTGTTGCCCATTGTGAAGAAAAATGTAGGTTTCTACCCTGAGTCATCAAAAGAAAGTTAAATTATATCCACCACACATGGTTTTCTACTGTTGCAAAGTGGGATATTCATTTTAGAAAGATTTCCACTAGACATGTAAGCATTTATTTCTTGAATCATTAAATGTAACTTTTGAGACATGTACACTGTCTTAAAAGTGCTGTTAATATTTTATCCTAATTCATTTTGTAAAATTCCCATCCAAAAAAGCTTTTATATAATCAATTGTACAGGTTTATGTTACACACAATATTAGGTACATTACTTCTATAATGCAATGGACTTTTTAATCTTTTCAAGTGAAATTGAGTCAGATTAATAAATACATAATTGTATTTAAATGATAAGGAACCCTGGTAGCATAGTGGCTTATGATATGGGCTGCTAACTGAAAGGTCAGTAGTTTGAATCTACCAGTAGCTCCGCTGGAGAATAAGGAGGCTTTCTGTCTGTAAAGATTCACAACCTCGGAAACCCTATTTGGGGCCACTGTGAGTTGGAACCACCTTGGTGGCACACAACCACTACCACAATTTACATTTATGTAATCCTCTCAGTGATTTTTTGCAGAGTGAGTTGGCATTCTAAATGAAGCTCATTTCCTCTTAGAATAGAACTTCCAGGCTGCACATTAAAAGAAACTTGTAGTTAAGGTCCATCTTACTTTGATAGAGCTATTTTGGTATCCTTGTGATTGACTAGAGTTAGTTGGTTTCATTAAAGAATCATTTTCAAAGGGAGTTCCTTAAATAGATACTAGCTAGGAAATGATATTGTTTTTAATCTTAGAATCTCTTTCAAAAATTGTTTTTTAGTATCAAAAAGTTTGTAGATGAAGTGGTTATGATCCTACCACCCAGAGATGGTATTATTTAAAAAGGGTACTTACAATCTGATCATGCATACACTTTTATAAATAAAAGCTGGGGAGGGGGAGGGAATGTATATATTGAAAGTGAGAGAAATAGAGCAAAGTTTAAAGTGAAAAGACATTTGTATTTTTTTATATTCTTTCATAGCTTTTTTGCCTTCATAAAGCCAAATATCATTATATTCTTTAAACCCACATACGCAATACTATAAACAGTCTTGCTTTTTTCCTATATGGACTGTTTTGTCCCCTCGTACCCGCCCCCTGCCAAAGTCAATAACAGAACTTGGAGATCGCTTATATGCATTCGTTTTTTTTTAACACTTCATAGTATTTCATTCAATGTTGTTGTTCAGTGCTATCAAGTCGGTTCAAGGTACAAGGTTTCCAAGGAGTAGAATGTGGGTTTGAACTACCAGCCTTGTGGTTAACAGTCCAATGTTTCTCCTTCAGCACCGCACTGTAAGACCAGTCTTGTATTAATGGAGACTTAGTTGATTTCTGGTTGGTTTGGTTTTTATTTTATACGTTTCAAACAATGTTGCAATAAATTTTTTTCATATAATCTTGGCATTTATCTCAGGTTAATTTCTAACAGTGGATTGCTTGGTCCAAGAATCTGCATTTCAGATTTTGATGATGTGTTCCTGTTACTCTTTAAAAGGTAGCATCAAGTTAGTGCTCTGCTGTGTAGCTGAGTTCCTGTGTATGCAAAACCAGACGACCTGTGGTATATTAGCAAACTTTTTATTTCTGTCAACCTGATTAGTGGAAAAGTGGTGTTTTGTTCTTTGTTTTGAATGTCTAAGGTTAAAATAGTAGCTTATGTGTTTGTTTGGTTTGTGTTTAAGTGAGAATTGATGTTTTCTGTACTTTGTGTCCAGAGAACTATAGTCAGTATGTGTTGTTGTTGTTGAATGCCATCAAGTCAATTCCAACTCATAATGACCCTGTATAGGGTTTCCAAGGAACATCTGGTAAGCATGAACTACCGACCTTGCAATTCAAACCGACCTTGTGGTCCAGAAAGTGTATAAGAATCTATAAAAACTTGTTTAGAAGGCTAACTCCCTTCCTAAAAAAAAAGACTGCAGTGTCGTGAGAGAGTTTTCAAAGACTTGGGGGAGAGGGTCATGGACTGTAGAGTAGAGTAGACTTTTATTCTGTATTTTCCCCCAGGAAAGAATAGAACCAGTTCATGGAGTTTTATAAAGATTTTTCTTAGCATGAGAATTGATTATTTGAAAATATGAAATCTTTATAAATCAAATATGCACCAGATGATATCTGTGAAGAATATGCCTGCTTACTATGAGAGATTGAGCTGAGCAATTTCTGTGACCCCCCTTTCGAATCTGGGGTATTTGATCATGAATATCTAATGAACATTTCTTTTTATTAATAGGATACCGATGAAATTCAAGTGAACTATCCTGGAATGTTTGAATTGATGGAAGATTTACAAGGTAAAGCACTTTAAAGAATTTTCACATTCTGTTTGACAGGTGAATATTAAAAGCTGACTCTGTGGCATGAGTCAGGGCTAACACTAGGATACACTGGTGAGAAAAAAGCAGACTATATTCAGGGATCTTACACTACGAAAGGAGGCGGAGGGAGACAGACACCAGGCAACCATGACAAAGATAAATGTTAAGTTAGAATTGTGGTAAGGGCTATGAAGTAGAGGGACTTTGTGCTAAGCGTACCCATAAGAGGGTGGCAGTCGTTTCTGAAAGGGTGCATTTTATCTTGGGAAAGCAAATCTGTGGCTTTTCCAACACTACTTGGCAACTCATGTCAAGACATGAGAGCAGCCAGACAGCTAAAAACCATTTTGTTTCCTTGGAAGTGTGGCCTGCATCCAAAATACGTGAATGTTCTGGCAGAGCTCACTGTCTCTTGATCCTGCATCATTCTCTCATCTCTGGCTCTTGGGACATGAGCCAGCAACCTGCTGTCTGACCTGCCAATTTGGGGTTCATTAACCCCTGCAACTGTGTGCATTAAGCTAAGGCTTCATTCTGACACCTGACCATGGGTTAGGGACTTGCCAGCTTCCGTAACTGTGTGATCCATTTCCTTGAAATTTCTCTCTATGTATATATATATTTGTATTTATGCTACATTGGTTTTGTTCCTCTAGAGAACCCAAGCCATGATAGGTTAAGAGGAAATGTCAAGAGAGTGCTGCAGAGGAGGGATCTTACCTGGTTAAGAATTTGAGTCATTTTTTTAATACTGGCATACTTTGTTTTGAGTTTTCCTTTCTTGCACTTCATAGATTTACCATTTTTTACAGATTGAAGGTTTGTGGCATCCCTACGTTGCGAAAGTCTTATTTGTACCATTTTTCTGACAGCATGTGCTCACTTTGTGTGTCTGTCACATTTTGGTAATTCTTGCAATATTTCAAATTTTTTCATACTACTAATGTACACTAAATAGACTTTAGTGTAAGCAAAAATTGTACATACTACAAGGAAACCAAAAAAATTGTGTGACTCACTTTATTATGGTGGTCTGGAACTGAAACTGCAGTGTCTCTGATGTATGCCTGCATTTGAAGCAGTTGTCTAGGGAGTGAGAAGAGTGACTTGCTTGATTCTGAGCCTTTAGAAACCTAACATACAGTTTCTGAGTAGAAAATGGTTGCATCTGTTACAGAGACTGAAAAGAGATGGTTAGCAAAGTGAAAAGGAGACACACTAGAATGGTGTTAGTTGCCATCAAGTCAGTTCTAACTCATGGCTACCCTATCCACAACAGAATGAAACACTGCCCAGTCCTGCACCGTCCTTACAATTGTTGCTATGTTTGTTATTATTGATTTTATTGCTGCTACTGTATCATGTTTGATTGCCTTTCAATGAGAGACATCTTTTTCTGGCTCTGTATCAATGCTTTGCTGGTATTCAGAAAGTTTTCATTGGCTACCCATTCAAAAGTGGTCTGCCTTTCCATCTTAATCTGTTTTAGCCTGGAAGCTCTGCTGAAACCTCTTCACTGTGGGTGACCCTGCTGGTATTTAAAATGTCTGTGGCATTACATCCAGCATCACAGAAACATGGAAGTCACCATAGTGTGGCAAACTGACAGGTGGTAGAACAAGTGTCACCTGAGCCTAGAGTTTCATAATGAAAGGGGACACTCAGCAGATCAAACACTGAAACAGGATAAGAACTGTACACAATATCCATTAGGTTTAGCAACAGGAAGGTTATTGGTGACCCTGATTAGAACTCTTTTCTTGGCTTCATGGGAATTAAAATAATTTGAGTAGGTTGAGAAGTAAATACAAGATGAGGAACTGGAGGCAGCAAATATTCCTTCAAGAAGTTTGGCTATATAGAAGAGTTGCAAGATAGAAAGGGTACAAGTGTCAGATTGAGGACGAAGGGAATAGGGATGAGATAGTTTCCGTTTTGTTGTTTCTTAAGACGTCATTAAACTGCTAATTAGAAGAATCCAAGTATTTTCATAGAAGAGATGGGAATGAAAGGATAATTGATGATTCT